CTATCTTTTAAGAATAACTTGCAAGAACAATGGGACGCGAACGACGTCGTCCTCTCAGATATAAGTTATTAGAATGAGAAGGAAGTTCGCACAAACAAATTTTGAGATTAAAAATTTTCTACGCGGACGATGTCGCTTTGAAAGCTAGTATTTATATAAAACTAGCTGTTCCCGCGACTTGGTCCGCGTGGAATAGTGACTTGGGGTAGCATGTTTAATTATTTAGGCGGTTTATTCATTTATGTAAGGACGCATTTAAGGCAGCCAATCTATGTTGTAAGTGCTACTTTTCCGCAACACCCTCATCTCCACTCTAGCTCCTATTCCTAAAAAGCCAAAGAAGAAAGTATCATTGTTCTAGCTTCAAAAACCACGCATTTTCATACAAACTTACAACCCCCTCTTCGCAATAAAAAGTATCCTGTTCCTTCTCAGGGTCTAGACCATCTGTGTAACAAATTTCATTCAAATCCGTTCAGTAGTTTTGGCGTGAAAGAGTAACAGACAAAACGAAGGTTTTTTTAAAACTCCTAAAAACCTCTGAAATTTTATTTTAGAACGATTTATTTGATTGATTTCGTATTTGTGTACCGACATACAAACAAAAACAAACGTAAGAATCGTCTGTCAATGTACTAACACGCGCCATAGATCCTTTCCATCGGTTCAGCGAAGAAGCTACGTATGTTTTATTAAGAAAGCAAAAGGGTGAAATATCAGGATTATAGTAATGAAACCAATATTGATTTATTCTTTATTAATTTCCTCAACGAATTGCCTTCGCTCTTTCCCCTACTAACCCATAACTTCTTCCTTGGCGCCTTACAATTACTGGGTTTTCCGAAACACCTTCGACAATGCTGTATCACGCCACGATGTCCTTATATATGACTGTTGATAACAGACATAACTACATGCTTCTAATAGTAAGCCTCTTTAAGAGAAGGAAGTAACGTCATGCTGAAGGACGCCCTTAGTGAGACTATGGACATCTCAATTCGTACCAGATCCTTGTCTTTCAATATTCTGTGGATCCCGCTAATTTTGAATTTGGTCAGTCATAATAGGTATAAAGTAAATTTTAACTAAAAAGAAATTAATAAATTTACGTCGCACGAGATTGATTAGATGTAGAAAATAAAAATGGTTTAATAAATACTTGTATAGTCTAAACGGTCCGTTTTAAACACCTACTTTACAAAAAAGGAATTACCAAAAACGGTTGATCCGCGATTAAAAGTTATATATTCGAAGTAATCATTCGTAACTGATTTTCAGAAACAGAAGTTTCATTCATATGAAACATCTACACGATACATCGCAGATGACACCATTTTAGCGATAGAATCTATTATAGAAGAAACAGGAAAAACAAGAAAAAACAGGTCACTAACTAAAAATAAATAAACACGGAAAAGTAATGAGGAATGCAAGTAAAACAACTGCCATTTTAATAACAGATACAATAGAAGCGGACTTTCATAACTAACGAGCACTACGCCTTGCTCCCGCCGTAATTACATAGGTAAACCGCACATCTTTGTACAGACTGAGCGCGAAATTACATTCCGAAATATCGTTTTTTATATTTATCGCCGCGTCTTTAACTAATCTCTTAGCTAAACTATACAATTGATTTGAGAGATGAAAATTGTATGGTTAATAGTTCTTGCGTTTCTTAGTGTAGTCCTAAAAGTCGTAGTTTTTTTAAATAATAATTATTACAAATGTGATTAAAATACGCGTCATACGTGAAAATAATATATTTTTTAGTTTAATTATATGACCGCGGGCTTTACTTTCCGGCCATTTTGTGCGTTACTTTTTGTCATTCTAATGAAGTTTTTATTGTGAAACCCAATTTTTTGAATTTGTGAATACTTTTTAGGTATTACAATTTCTGATTGATATTTTTAGGAAATATTTGATTATGACAGACTGAACATCAGCCGAAAGCTAAATACATATATGGATTAGGCTAAAATCTAAATTTAAATAAAACTGAAGAATGCCACTACTCGAATAAGTCTATTTGAAATACTGTAAAATGTGTCCTAACCTTAAAATTTTCAAAAAATAATAAAAGATACTATGGGGTATCGCCCTCCCCACCATCAAAATCGATTGTATGAATGGTGCAGACCAACCAATTTTTCTCTAAAGTATCATTATAGTTAAATCTGTACTACAATTAAAATAAAAATGCATTGTAGTAACTGCTGGTAAGCAAATTGAATAATGTTCCACAAATTACACCACAAGATTTTTTGCACACCATTTCAATGCTATAACGAGTTCCATCCTCTGCGCGGGAAAAGTCTGAACAATTATGTCGTAAATCGCAAGCAAATTGCATTACATTCAAATTATAATTAATAAATGCTAAAAACATCTCTAAAAAGTAATTACAAATGCGTAAATATGGTTGTATTGAGGAAAAGTAAAGCCACGTTCGAGCTACTAGTCGAGCGTACTCTGGCAGTAAAAAACGCTATAACATTTTATATTCGCCACGAGGAAGACAAAGAAGAGTTATCGACATACAAAATATGCTTCGTTATACGAAACACGAGACGAAGTAACGCGCAGATTTTTAAGTTTTTCTTCTTTTAGTATCTTTATGCCTTGTACTATAGAACAAAATGTTAATATTGAATTCACCCGAGTCTATTCAAGGTTTTCGACGGTTGGTGTAATGGTAGCGATGTCTGGTAACAATCAACGGGACGTAGCTTCGATCCCTACTGGGTCCAACATTGAAAAATAACTAGGAAAGTGGTAAGTTTATACTTAAGAGTAGCACAATATCGCGATAGGTTTAGTAGTAGGTAGTGTTTCTTATAATTCTAATAATCGCCCTGTCTAATCAGCACATAAGATCTCAATACAGCTTCCGTAAAGAGCAAGTGCGCACAAACATGAGTAGTTCCTTTATTGTCTTTATTGTAACGCGTTAAGACATATTTTTGAATGAAAAGGTGTCGTTTTGTTAAATATGAACCGTTTTCGGTGTGTTACGGTTATTTTCGGATTTATAACTCGTATATAAAATAAGACTTCCCGTCCCTGTTATCCAAGTAGGGTTACAGCACGTACCTAATCTTCATAACTTATGGGCGTCGTATTGTAAGGAAAACAACAAATGACATTACACCACCCTTATTTTAGATCGTAAGTCGCAAATTCCTCTGTTTACAAAAAATTTATTCATCAGTGCTTTAAAACAATCTGACAAAACATGTGTTATTATTATCACCAATCCCGATACAATATTTGAAAGTCCTAAAAGACACTTGCTTTATTCAAGCACACAGTACGTAGATACGCAGTAAGCCCACACAATTAAACGGATATCACTCGCATTTGCAAAGCTACTGACCCGTGACTGTTACCACTGTACCGTGGTTACCGACACGACGCTCTCGCCTTGGGTATTGTGGAATAGTAGTTTCCAATGCCCTTTAAACTAAAGTACCGATATGTCTAAATCTATACTCTATACTAAGCATATAAAGCTGAAAAGTTTGTATGTTTAAACACGCTAATCTCAGGAACTACGGGGAAAAAATCGTTCATCTTTGCGGCCTTCCGTCGCTAATACTAAAGTGACGTTTGCATATCAGAGCGATAGGAAGCCCGCTAAACGGCTCTGTTAGGGGCTCTATGGGCGTTGAGCAAAGGATTTCTAATCCCTCACATTAGACACGTTACTTTTGTTCGACTTTTTTCTTACTTATATGACACCGATTTTTTTATCCTTAATTGTAACATTATGTTGAAGAGACGACTAACATCCCTATGCCGAAGCGAAATATTAACAATTTCAAGTACAATAGTTTGGTTTTGGTTGGCACCTACAATTATGACATGAATGATGTAAAACATATTATTACTTTTAGGGGGTAGTTGTAATTTTAACAGGGTATTTTGTCTTGGAAAGACAGAGAGTCTCAATTACCCTCTTCGCTAGCATTCGAATGATAGATTAGTATAATAGTTCGTTAGCGAAAAGATCATCGTCGTCAACAAGAGAGACAAAACAATTAGGTATAGGTACAAGTAGGGCCTCCGGTCGTTTAAAACTTCACACGTATCGTTCGTATCGATGGAGACCGATCGACTCTTAAGGCTAGTGGTTTACTTTTAAGGAATGCAATACGCTTACGGAATTGCGATCGGAAAAGTCCAGTTAGCGGCGACGGTCGCGTTTTAAACGCAAAGTGAAATCTAAGGCTTCACACAATAGGTAAAACCGCAGGCAAAAAGGCAATAAATCAAATATGCGAGATTACCTACCTATTGCGAGGCGCACGCCTTCATAATCGTGTTACAGCAAATCCATTCACAACACGGATACGAAAACAAAAAACACAACACGCTCACAAAATAAAAAGCTATCCCGACGGTGACTCGTTAGCGCACGGCGAACGTTTCCTGACAATATTTTGTTTAAAACTTGCACAATAGTAAAACAGATGGTGAATTTCGTGCGCGTTTCGGAGGAACCATTGAGAGCATACCAGTAGCCGTGAAGGAATCGCGACACTGGGCCGGAATCGTTTGTTTGACTCCGTTCGCTTCGCCCGAGATATCGCTGTCTCTTTCTAGACCCGGTCGAGGTTCGCCCGCGAGTCACGACATCTACAGAATTTTCGAAACGCCCTGCCGAGCACTGTGAAAAATTTTCGGTGTTACTTTTATTTTACCAACTTTCCCTAGATGTCGCTTTCGGAAATAAAAAGACGGAAAACGAATTCCATAAGTCTTCGACGGATTTAGGAATCGGAATGATCATCGGGAGTAGAATAAGTGAAACCGCTTTACATATTCTATACGCAATATATATTTTAGGTCTCTTCCAAATGAATTAATCGCAACTATACATAAAATATGAATAATTCAAATATTGTAGGCATATTAAAATGATATTTATCGTAGGAGTCTATCAGTGAAAAGATATTTTTATTAGTAAAGTACACTAAAGCTATGTATGCACACAGCTAACGTAAAGAAACTCTACAATTCAATCCGGTATCGTTCAAATCTGTCATTACTCTAATAAGATTACTGTTAGTTAAAACACTCTTTGGTTCATAGCCCGATGATATCCAAGATTCTAGCGTCTCCGTACCGGGCAGAAGAGTTCGCAGCGTATTTCTAATGTAAACGTAGGCCTGTGGGGAGTATCTATAAATACTTAAAGCAAAGTTTTTTAAGTCGTCAGTATGTCTCGTGGGCATAGCTAACACGAGACCGGTGGTGTCTTCCCTCATCTTATCTTGTAATGACAACAGTATTCTAGATTTCTTCTTCCGTTTTTGACTCAAAATATTCTTCTTCATAGTTATAACCTCTTGAAGTCGGGCTAAAAAGCGCGATTGACGCTTGTATGCGCGCGTGCTATACTTATACTTTTCCTTTAGTTCTGCAGCTTGTCGTTGCATCTTTTGTACCTCCGTAAATAGTTTTAAGGCTTCAATATTTGCTTCTCTATCATTTATCTGAGCTAAATCTTCTTCTAAATCATTAGTTAAGATTGTGTGAGAATGAGGACCGTTAGATAGAGAGTTTTCTAATTTATAATCTTTAGGAATAGGCTGCTCAGTATCGTTAGAGATTTGATCCATCTCATAATCATTGTCTGAATAGCTATCAGGGTCATCATTATCTAGCGTGTCTTCCTCTATATATTCAACCTAGAAGAAAATGCAGTTATTATAGAATATCTGAAATGTTTTGTCAAGGTTTATTCTATCTATTAACCAATTCTATTCTATTAAACAAATTTTTTAAAACTCTTAAAAACCTGGCAACTATAACAATGATAGTATGCGTAGCTAGTAAAGTTAGTCTAGATTTCTCCAAGTAGGAAAAAACATAGAAACAATTTATAATTTACATAAACAAATTGAGAAGTTGCATACTTTTTTAATATGGCTCTTTAAGAAAAATCACTCTAAATTTTTTATTTCTGTATTACATTACAGGTCAAATAAATTAATAAAGGGTTTATTTCTATGGCCACATGTAATTACAACTAGCTACAATAAATAAGAAATTATGCTTTACTAACCTCAAGGACATGTTTTGGAAGCTTCAGTGAGGGCACGGCTTTATTTATGAGAACAACGGCATTATTGGAGTCACATTCAAAGCAGTCTACAGAAAAATGTTGTACACAAATATAAGAATAATCAGTTGGGGTCCAGTTATTCCTTCCAGTTAAGTCAGCCCATATTTGTCTTTGTACAGGATCCTCAGGAAATCTGATAAAAATTATATAATTTATGAAACAATAAAATTGTATATAGAATAATAACTTTGTTTCTGAACTTGACAGGATGAAATAGTAGTACTTAAAGGAGTATGAATAGCATAATAATGCTGTCTTTTCTCCATCCAAATAGAAAACAAGAAAAAAACTGGTAAAATATGCTTAATCTATACTAATATATAAAGCTAAAGAGTTTCTTGTTTGAATGCGCTAATCTCAAAAACTACGGGTTTGAATTAAAGAAATATTTTTGGTTGGCCCCAACTAACTATTCTACGTGGACGAAGTTGCTGACACAGGTAGTGTAAATATATTATTTGTAAGGGTTATATTATTATTTAAATTAGAAATTTTATGCCGATTAGCACGAATAGTTAAGAGGTGACTTGTTATTTGCTACTTTTCCTTGTAGGATTATGAGGGAGGAATAGTTAAAATTAAATAGCCTGTAAACTTAGTATAAAGGAAGACTCAGCTGTATGTCAAGCAGATAACATCCTTTGAAATCGCTTGCTTATAGAAAAAGCAATTGTGTGATCAGATATGAATTTGATTCACAACTGATCACACAATGGGCCAAATACTTGATGGTTACTGAATATCTGTTTAATTTCTATTATAAATGTTTGCACTTTTTCTGCAAATTTTGCACTATTTAATTGGTATCCAGAGTTGTGAAATCTCAACAAAAACAAAGGCCAAAATCTTGTGAGGAACTTGTTCTGAGAACCAACAAATACTATTATTCAAATATTATATTACAAAACAGAAGCACATTCTCCATTAAAAAGTATCTACAAGCAAATAATTTACATAATATATAATACCTTTAGAAAATTAAGGAAGAAATAAACAAAACAATAAAATTGGTTTGAAAACCAATGTAAATACTATATTTTATTGAAAAATATTAACTTACGGAAAGAATGAATCGGAATTAAAATTTTTCGATTCTTCACATCCTAAAACTGCACACGTTTTTGATATTTGAGTATCAGCATCACTGCTTTGCTTGAGTTCTGGCGCTACCTTAGCTAAAAAATAAGAGACATAACCTATATAGCAATAGGTTAATTTTATGCGGTTTTGTCAACACAAACATTTAAAATACCTACCGACAGGTGTAGACTTATGTTTCTCGTCATTTTCTTTAATTTTAGCTAATCCTTGGGTAAAACTCATGATGGTGAATGTCAAGTACCTACGTTACATACAATTTTATATCGGCGGGAGTTTGTTTGATACAACTATAACTTAAATGTTTCTGTTATTCTTAAATAACATATCATTAGCAAATCAATATTTACCAAACATTGATTTAAAATAATTATGTTTAATATGTTTATAAAATGCCAATACTACGGTGAATATTGGTTGTATTGGTGAAAAATTAACATTTCACAAAAATTCACAATATACTCAAAGATAACTTAAATTAAAACTGTACAGGATGTAGATTAAAATCAATTCGAATCTGTGGAGCAACTTAATTAAAATGTGTAGTTCATAGATTATAAAAAAAATATTTTTTTAGGTGTCAAGAAACCTTTGCTCGCAACTGGCTACACAGTTCGTGTGTGTCGCAATACATCGCTTTTGTGATATGTAAATTGTATTTTGTCATACGTAAAAAGATAAATATAATTGAATAATCGAGATATTACATGTTCGAAAATGGTTGATCCCATATTTGACTATCAATTTAGGCTTATTTTAATCGGTGACAGCACAGTGGGTAAGAGCTCGCTGCTTAAATATTTCACAGATGGAAAATTTGCAGAGGTAAAATCCTTTGTTTTGTTGTGATATTTTTGTCTCGGCCTGTTTGTAAAATCATATTATCTTTTCAGCTTTCCGATCCCACAGTCGGGGTTGACTTCTTCGCTAGAATAATCGAAGTGCAGGACGGTACGCGAATTAAGCTTCAGCTATGGGATACTGCAGGTCAAGAGAGATTTAGATCTATAACAAAATCTTATTATAGGAATTCAGTGGGTGCTCTCCTAGTTTATGATGTGTGTAATAGATCAAGCTTTGAACACATTCCTCTATGGATGATGGAAGCTAAACGTCATATTGAGCCTCATAGACCAGTGTTTGCCCTAGTTGGGTGTAAAGTTGATTTGGTTGGTACAGATGTTAAAAATGGTGCAAGAAGAGAAGTCTCCTGTGAAGAAGCTAGGATGTTTGCAGAGGAGAATGGTAAGTATTTATTACTAGTCCTTTGATTATTCCTAAATAAATTGACACTGGTCTTTTTGATTCCTAAATAAATTGACAGCATCTATGCTTAAATTTAAGCAGAGATGCAGTCTGGTCAAAATAATGACCACCATAATAATTCAATAATTCGCTTTATGCCAAAACAAGGGAGTTTAAAGTTATTATTAATAATATGTACACCATATTTTTCTACTATTTATAGTAAATAAATCTTATACAATTACAGTTTTGTGTAAAATAGGTAGTAATTGTAATACAAATTCAATTCTAATATAATGAAAAATTGTAATAATTTATTTAAAATATTAATTATTATTATAATTTTTCTAAATGTTTTTGGTGTTGAATTGTGTGACTGACCTTGTATAGTTTTATTTTAAATTCAGCCTTCTCAGTTTATCAGTTGAAGGTCTTAATTTACATGCAATGTATTTGTTTGTTTTGTGCATATTAGTTCTCTTTTTATTATCCTATTATATTTTTGTAATTCAAATCACTTTTGTACTCTTCAGGACTACATCATGTAGAGACATCTGCTAAAACAGGCCTAAATGTCGAACAAGCTTTCATCTTAGTCGCTCAAGAGGTTTACAATCGTATTCAAACTGGTGAATACAAAGTAGAGGATGGTTGGGATGGAATCAAGTCTGGTTTCAATCGACCGAATGGCATGGACTTTAATTTACTTGAAGCAGAAACAGTTCAATCTACATGCTGCTAATTTTTGTACATAGTATAGTGTTGTTTATTAGCTTCAATTGTTCAACATTTATGAAGGAGCATTCATAAATGTTTAACAATTGTGTCATAAAAAAATGTGACACGTTGTTCATATTAAGAAATTCTAGCTCTTTCTTACATAATCAGTTTAATGGAACTGCAGAATGATAGATATACAGCACATATTAGTAGACTGGTTTCAACTAACTTACTAATATAATTTGAATTTGCTTCGCTCTTAAGAAATTGTACAACAACAAATAGTGACTTTTTTGGTAACTTTGCACAAACAATGTTTTAAATAATCACAATTATGTAATGTTAGATATTTAATTAATTTTGGGTTAATCTCTTAATATGTCTAGGATATGCTTAACCGTTTACATGTAGTGCCAGCTGCCAATGCAGTGTTTTTTTTACTTTAAATGCGTATATATATATATAATATGTTAAGCACTCGACCACAAACCCAACAAAACAACCAAAGAGTTGGTAATTTGTTATTTATTGTTTATTTCATAGTAGTTTTAAACCTAGGGTAAATAATTATAACTAACAATAACTACATACTGTAGTGAAAATATCGTACCTGCAGTCTTTTTATGTTAAATTACCTTACTAGGTTGCATTGGGTAGATTAGCAAAGGTTTTCTTGGTTTCATCAGTTAAGCTATTAATAAAAAATGTACGATATTTGCAAACGCATGGCAGGTAAAATTGTGCCTTTAATATTAAAGGTCCTGCGAAAATAACTTTCTCATATACTGAGTGAGGTACATGCTGTTATTATAAATTATTTATTTTTTTGACAGTTTAAAAAATGTGAGAGAAAAATTTCAAATTTACTGTAATTAATTACAGTAATTTATTATATATGTATGTCAATTCATATACATATTTTCAATTTTTCATAAAATTCAAGACACCCTTAAACATGTACATATTAGCAGAATTATTAAGTACTCTCCATAGCCTGTTCATGTAAGAGGAATATAAAAAATTGTGGTGTACCGTCCTACATATGGACATATTGTATTTTATAAACATGAATAAAGTAATGTTATTACTTATTATTAAATAGTTAATAGTACCTGTTTTTGCACAAGCCAAAGTATTTTAAATAACTTTTCTTTTTTTCTTTATTTTTAACCATTTAGTAAGTATCCATTTTAACTACTGTTAAAATATATATACAAATGTATGTACATTTTTTTATGCTTATAGGGCACTTTGTTCACACCTAAACATTAAACAATCTTCCCAAGGATATATAGAAACAATACCATAAGAGTTATTCTATTGATATAATTAATTTAGACCTTTTAATCGACTTTAAAATAGAAGTTATCAATAATATCATTTATAAAGTATATTTTTTCTAACTATTAAAGGAGCACAACAAATATGGCCAATTTCAAAACATAGAGAACTAGTGATGGCATTTTATAGAGTGAAGTCGTTGACACCGGTATAAAGAAATATTAGTAAAATATGGGCCAAATGACCACAATTTTCAAAATTTCTTTTATGATGGCTTTGTTTTTTTTTTTTTTTCCCCCTTTTTTTACCCCCCCTTTTTTAAACCCTTCCCCCGGGGGGGGAAAAGGGGGGTCCCCCCCCCCTCTTTCTTTTTTTTCTCCCCCCCCCCCCCCCCCCCCCCTTAAAAAAAAAAAAAAAAAAATTTTAAACTGTGTGTTTACGTTAATAATTTTAGCATGAAATTGTTGTTTTTACTAAGTGGCGGTTGTTCATTAGTTTAATATATGATCCAGTGTCTCAAAGTGTTTTTAGTGAAAATCAATCTAAACCATGTGAGAAATTTACGATTTCGTGTATATTATGTGTTTAAAAACTTTACATCTAATTGCACATGAAGGCATTATATTATTTAAAAATCATTTACTTTGTTGATTCGGATAAATAAGGAGTTCGGGGCATGTGCAAAGTATTTTTTATTTGCTTTTTAGTTAAACTATTTTAGGTCTGTAATTTTCTTTGTTTATTTACCAATCTTAAATTATGACATTGATAGATGACACATCGTTGTCAACTTGTCAAACTGATGTAAAGTTCTTTTATGTATAAGCAAAATGTAATAGGTATTGAATGCCTTTAACATTTAAGAAATAAAGATACAAATTAATGTACTAAGCATTTGAATTTCATGTTCCATTTGTTTAATTATTTGCTTTGAAACATGTCGTCTAGTCGCTCAAGATCTTCAATCCTAGATAAGCCCCTTAGTAAAGGGAAAGGTGAAGTGTCTTTAGCAATTTATGCTCTTCTATTTTCCGAAATAGTTCAGTATGCTCAAAATCGATCGCATTCGATACAGGAATTACAAAACAAGTAAGAAGAACAATCTGCAAATACTTACGGCGGGTGAATCCTAGTTTTATTTATGAAACGTAACTCATTTCAGATTATCTGAAATTGGACAAGATGTGGGAAGCAGAGTACTAGATTTATATTTCGTCAGAGAAAGGAATAGCAAGCGAGAAATTAAATTACTTAATATGTTACTTTTTGTTAAATCAACACTGTGGAAGGTACATTAGTGTGATTTGGATTAGTTTTTCTGACATCTAAAGGTCCTTTGCAATTTTAGGAATAATACTTCTAAAATTACAGGTCCTATTTGGCAAAGAGGCAGATAAATTGGAGCATGCAAATGATGATGAAAGAACTTACTATATAATAGAAAAAGATGCTCTGGTACTTGCTTTTTAGTTATATTTTAAGTTTATTTTTAGAAGCAACTTACATTTTATTTATAAACACATTTTACAGGTTAATAAGTTTATAAGTGTACCAAAAGACAAGGGATCCCTTAACTGTGCGTCATTTAATGCTGGTATTATAGAGGCTGTTCTCTCAAGAAGTGGTTTTGTAAGTAAAATCATGGCTTATTCATGATTAAAATATAATGATAAGTATGAATCTTACATTAGTAAATCTCTTGTCTCCTTAATAATTGGGCTTATTAAGTAAAATTCTTCTGCCTGTTTCACTATTTGCTATTCTTCTCATTATATTTACAAGCAACCTCACATGTTTTTCCTTCACTCTTAAAATGACTTATTACCTCCACTGTTGTGCTTGCGTATTAGCAAGAAATTATTTAATAGAAAACTAATAACAAATCAGACTGGATTTGAACAGGCAAACGGATATAGTACAGTATATTTTTTGTATATATCTTATTTTGTTGCAGCCTGCAAAAGTTACCGCTCACTGGCATAAAGGCACAACATATATGGTCAAATTTGATGATGCAGTTGTCGCCAGGGATAAATCATTAGATGATCGGTAGAAATGTCAGAATTTGGCATGTAAACAAAAATTAATTGCAATTTAATCTAAAATAAATTCACTGAACTCATTTAATACATAAAAAAATAAACTCATTGTACGAGAGGTGGATGTATTTCGGATGGGATAAAGAGTTTGACGACATGTCGGACACTCTGCTCTGATCAATTAAGCTATCAAGCTTAATTGATCAGAGCAGCAGCGTGAAAGGCTGTGCCTGATTAAGTCCCACCTGTGATACCAAATTTTTTTAATCATAATATATACTTTAATAAACTCAAGTTACATAATAATGACTTATTATTGTAAATCTCCATCTTCCAGATTGCCTGGAAGAAATGGCTTTTAAGCGATAAGGCCGCTCCATTCTTGCTTCATTTTGGATTTTTAAAATTGAGTTTTATTTTGTAATATTGCAGTAACAATGAAGTAATTTTGTGTTTGTTTGTTTGTACCTAGTAATTTCTTTATATAATTTTGTAGCTTTCAGTATTGTATTGAATGAGGTAGAGGGAACTAATAAATATGTACTACAATGACCATTATATTATCAAGAAAAATTACACCAATTTAAACATCCGGTCCCGGTATCTTAACTCTCCAGTACGAATTTGGTTTTCTTTCTTTGAACGTTGAGTATATATAAGATAACCATAGCTAAGCATAGGTAGAACCACTGTAAATATAGCCCTTACGGCATTTGCAGGAGTTGGTACAAAGTATTCAGTTTGACATGCTTTATAAGACAGGAAACGTTGCAAGGCAGGATCAAACTGTAAATGAAAATATTACTGTCTATATTTTAAAAAGTAATATAGGGCTGCTGCAGTTTTAAAAGCAACTATAATGGCACAATTATTTATCTGACTTGCACCAACCAGAATGGAAAATTGTGTATGGATAGATCAAAAAACTAGCACTTACAACATGTCCTGCTTCTTGTGAATGTTTACAAGGATCAGTTCTCATTTTAAGATATTCCTGTCTATATTTTGCTCGTCTTTCAATCTGTGCTTTAATGATTTTGCATTCAATTTCAGAAAATGCATAATCACTCATTTTCAATTAATGGAATTTAAAGCACTAACTTCTAAAGTCTTCAGGGTAATTGACAATAACAACTGATTATGTCAATTTTGAAATAAATTCTTTAGTTGCCTATATTTTTTAACAAATAACAAGTAGAATTTGTAATGCATAAAAAACGTAGCAGTTAACAGATTTTATTTACATTGAGTTCTATTACATTTGTTTACAAGTCTAATATCAGTTGTTTTTAGCACAGTTTGAATAATCTGTCTCTGTAGCGAATTTCACCGGATCGAACTTTAGCTTCTCGTGTCGAACGTTCTTTGTGTATGAGATATCCGTATACAAACATCGGGATAACGATAGTACCTATTCCAAACAGAGCGTTCCTACGGTTGGGTTTGAAGTATTCAAATTGAGTCACTTTCATAGAAATGAAGCGTTGGTGGCCTTCATCAAACTAAAACAGAAATATATTACATTTGTAAATCAAAATAAAAGAAGTAAAAGGTGTTATTATTTACGAAATTACGTAATGAAACTCACGACAAATCCAGCCTCCGCTGCGTGTTTAAATGGATTGGTGCGCTGTTTGAGAAATTCTCGCCGCATTTCAGCGCGTTTTGCAGCTTGTTTTTTAATGATAGCATATTCAGCTTCAGATATACCGTATTTCTCAGCCATTGTGTTATTTAAACTTTTTTCATAAAATTCCACAAATAATTTAACTTACACCTCCATTAGCCCTCATTGCACAGATAAAACAATAAGTACAGAATACGTGCCAATGCCACAGATATGACTTAGGAATTGTCCGGTTGCAAATTGATACTGTTGCTCGATAGACTATCGCTGGCTGGTAATACGTTTTGCTTTTCTATTGTCACACTGGCTAATCGCGACGTTTGACGACAAATAAAATAATGCTTTACTTGCCACTTGTTAATTTTTATTTCTTGCCCTGTTTTTATTCATTAGACTTCCTTAAAGAAAGTATAATTTGGGCTACGTTTATACTTGACGAATTACAAGCCGGAGTCTGTGGTCGTTCACAAATCCCAAAGCTTTTAAATTAATATTGAAAACCAACTATTTGGTAATATTGTATTGCTGCTACTGTACTAATTGTTGTGGTTAACTTTTATTTCATGTGAATAGACTTTTTTAAAAGTAGGCAGGAGGGTAAATTAAATAAGTTTTTAAACAAAGTACGTTAAAGGTAACTGTCAGTTAACAGTGATTCAAATTGTGAATCGATAGCGCGTCGATGAAAGAGACCTTTACTTGCTCTTTACTTATAAAAAGCAAATAAATAAATAAACATTGTTTATTGGGCGTTATTAATGTTTTCTAAGGATAAATTTGATACGTGAACTCAAATGATACTTTCTGGACGAACAAATTAAAAATATATTTAAGTCAGAAAAAAGTCCCTATATTTTATTTTGGCTTTATTATAAGTTATTAGTAATATTTCTCAGAATAAAAAAATACGCATTTTTTGATACATCACACATATCTGACCGCCGATGTGGATGTTGTTCTTTCTAGAGAATAACATAATAATTATAGTCTGTAAAAGAAATAATGTCAAATGTCATCCTTTCTACCGACGTCTAGTTCCGCTTAACAAGCCACCATCTTTTTAATTTTACTTGTGTAATTATCGGAACGGCGATTTTCTAAAAAGCCGCAATCATGGGTCGCATGCACGCGCCTGGGTATAGTTTAATTCTTTTTTGATATATAACTTAGTTTATAAATGTTTTTTATTGATTCGTTGTTGTAAATAAGATACTATACCTAATGTGACAATATAACCTATGCGTCCAACACATGGCGGCCTATAATTTACTATTGTCTTTTATATTTCAGCAAGGGTATCTCGCAGTCGGCATTGCCTTATCGCCGAAGCGTACCTACTTGGTTAAAATCTACAGCCGATGATGTCAAGGAACATATTTTCAAATTCGGCAAAAAAGGTCTTACTCCTTCACAAATTGGTGAGTACTTGCTCTGTTGTCATTATTCGGCATATATATTATATACTTCTCAATATTCGGCAGTATACTGGATTGCAACTTAGCTTAGCTTTCTTAAATTTGAGATGACAGACGTAAAAATAAAGGCGTTAAAATTTATACAGAAAATATTTCTGTATGTAAAATGTGGGTTGGCGGATATTGTATCACTAAATTTTTTTCTCTCCATCATAAAGCATAGGTAGATCCTAATTATCAATAATCAATTATTATTTTAAACCTAGGTATGCTTATAATTTGCTGAGTGTAAGAGAAACTTGTTAAATAAATTATTTATTGTGTTACTTAGGTAGGAAAGGTAATAAATTAAGAGCCATACACACAATTGCGGTTTTTAGTGTCCAAAGCCAATAAATATTTAAGCTTTAGAATCTTAAATGCCTGTCACAGAGAGCTATGATATTGCCATTTTTAAGGGACTGATTCTTAATGGTATGTGGTATTTTACTACCCCAATACTATTGATACTTACATTTTTATAGAATACCCTTTGTTTAATAATTTAACTTAATTGACTGTGGATGCAATGTTTATCTATAAGAAGACTTGAAACCCCAGTGGCAAACTATTGTTTAATAATAATAGTCATTTATTTATCAGACTATTGATCCATTCTTCAACTAATTCAGTGTTAGTTGATTTAGTAAGAAATTAACTTAGAATACTCTGGCCAAGCAATGCATGCCATTGTTTTAATAGTTTGATGTACTTGCTACACAATGGCATTTAATTTATGGAATACTGTATAGCCACACTCATATCTTTTGTCACTAGCCTACTGTGAGTGTTTTGACACTACCTCATTCATAATACAAAATATCAGGAAAGTTAATAAATTGTTCCTTTTATAAATGAACTCATGAATATAAATGATTGATTTCAGGTGTTATGCTAAGGGATTCCTATGGAGTGGCTCAAGTCAGATTTGTCACCGGTAAGAAGATCCTTCGTATCATGAAGGCAATGGGACTCGCTCCTGATCTACCAGAAGACCTTTATTATTTGATCAAGAAGGCTGTTGCAATGAGAAAGCACTTGGAACGCAACAGGAAAGACAAGGACAGTAAATTCCGACTGATTCTTGTTGAATCTAGGATCCACAGGCTGGCTCGTTACTACAAGACAAAGAGTGTGTTACCGCCCAACTGGAAATATGAGTCGAGCACGGCATCTGCCTTAGTGGCTTAAGTTAAATAAACCTTTAATTTACAACTTTTCTTTTATTGCTTACTTATTGCTTAGTGGAAATGGTATGTAATATTACAATTGATCATTAAAGGCCTTTATAATTCTAGATTAAAATTACAGTAAAACACATTTTTATACTAGTTAAATTAATTATTTACATAGTCAAACCAGTTAAAAACGAAAAACTCTAAATTCACTACCAGTTCCCAAATCAAGGTTGTAGAAAAAAGGGATGAAAAGAGGTAAGAAACTCTGCCACTCATTTTAGCAAGTTAAATTTACAAACTTCATATACATGAAAGGTATTACATTTCTTTCTTGTTAAGACTGGTTTTATTGTATCTCCCAAGGATATTAATGATTGTTTATATATGTATTGATGTAAGTCTTAATGATTCTTTCAAGCAGTATTGTTATACATATAAAAGAGACATCTTACATTTTGTTAATATTGAGATTAAATTACTTGGTACCGTACTCACCACCAACTTACTGATGAAATCCCCTCTTGTTCGTGCTATGCGTCAAAAGGGAATGTGTATGGTAATTGAAAAACATCACTTAATATGTATTAAATATTTATGCAATGGAATTGTTTGTATGTTAGAATATTTTTATAATGTAATAAATAAATAAATAAATAAATAAATGATTTGAACTTATTTATTGTCAGTGCTTGCATGTCACTCAGCATTATTTGGGTCATTATTTTCACTAGTTTAATTTGTATTTTCATCCATTTCTTTATAAATAACAAGAAATTATTATAATATTTATTCTTTATTTACAATGTATTACATGATTATAATAATGTTTAAAACAGGCAAGTCTTACACATATGGATTCCAATTACTTCCATCTTCAGGATGTAAATTATTTGTTATTAATAATACAACATCAACAATCCACCAGATACCAAGTCCCCCTAAAGTTAAAAGCTTACCTACAGCTGTACCCGTTTGACCTAAACAAAATCTATCCATACCAAGGAATCCCAGTAAAATACTGTATATTAATGTAGTAGTGAAGTAGTGACCTGAATATCTTACACATGGAAATCCATCTCGAAGGAAACTTCTACTTCCATAGCATTCGATTCCATCTAATGCCTTGCATTGAACTTTTGTTATTTCCACATCTTCAAATCGAGCACCTCCAAATCTAACACATCCATGCTTGACCGCTTTTTTTGCTGTTTCGTTACCCTTATGGTCAACTGGCTCATCACAATCCAGAAATTCTAAAGGTAAAAAACTGCACTTAACGAGTGGCCCCAAAGGCCGATAAGGTTCTTTGGTATACAGGTCACTCTGAGGCATACCAATTGATAACAAGGATAAAAAAACCATTCCAATTTGGGGTTTCATTATTATAAAAGTATTTCGCTTCGAATCATAATATTTTATTTTCTACAAAATCAATGTTGGTTTATACGTTTGTTCACTTATTTTTGTTTTCTAGGACAGGTGCTATTTTAGTATTTTACAGTAAATAATGATGAAATAGTCACAACATAAGTAATATGCTGTAGCAACATTACTTCAACTTTGCTTTACGTTAAGAGAAAAAAATGTAAATATTTCATTACAACTTTCCTTATTGTGATATATGTGCGTTCGCCACAGATGTTATGGAATTAGCGTTTCTGCACAGATTGCTTACAGTAAAAGCAAATATAAAAAAAACTTTTCAATTCTTTCAGTATTGCACAATGTTTAGTCTATTTAAGTTGGAATCATTTCATATAATAATATTAATTAATAAAATATATACGATAACATTTACCGTCATATCCTTTTTCTCCGTGTAAAGTTTCCCTACCTTTAACCACAGCCTTTAACTTGACACTGGCAAATAGTTAATTCTTCTTGTCACAAAAAAAAAAGATTTACCATCTCTAACGTCAATTGTCAGAATTACAATACTATAATGGACAGAATATACTTTAAATATTTTTTCTTATAAAATATAACTAATTCATATGCACATAGTACAATTGTTTAATAAGCACAAATGGAGGTGTTTAATAAATTGTATTCATCGGTAACTAGTACAGTATCGCAACTCTCGGGTGTGTTACCCGGAAACCCAGTGACTAGAGAATTTGAAGCAACACAATTTATTGCGAGCGCAGGACCAGGTAAAAGGCGAAATGTATAATTCAAGACAAGTTTCAGAGATTTGTCTTTTTATTTAAATACGTTGTTGTACTGAACTTACTTTCAGGATTATTCTGGAAAGTTTATAAAGGCTATAAAAAATCCACCAAGCAAGAAGCATCAATATTCGTTTTTGAAAAGAAGCTACTGGAACGCTGGTCGAAAGCAGACAGAGATTTAATGATAGACATTTTAAAACGAGGTATTATACAATTAACTAAGCTGCGTCATCCCCAAATACTCACCGTCCAACATAGTTTAGAGGAAAGCAGAGAAAGCTTAGCATTTGCTACTGAACCTGTGTTTGCAAGTTTGGCAAATATTTTGGGCAATAAGGATAATATGCCACAGCCAATTCCAACACATTTAGAGAACTATAAACTTTACGAAGTAGAGATAAAATATGGGTTGATGCAAATAGCTGAGGGGCTGGCATTCCTCCATAATGATGTTAAATTGTTGCACCATAATATTACACCTGAATCTATAGTAGTAAACCAACAAGGGGCATGGAAAATATTTGGTTTTGATTTCTGTATCGCTAACCAGAGCCCACCAGGACAAGCACCTTTTTGGCCTTTTAATGAGTACTGTCAAGCAATGCCTGCTTTAACCCAACCCTCTCTTGACTATTTAGCCCCTGAATACATACTCTCCGCATCTCACTCAACAGCCAGTGACATATATTCTCTTGGCATGCTTGTATACATTATACACATCACTGGACACCAACCGCTGGGAAATTTAGGAAATGATTATGCAAAATTTAAGAGGTTTGCAAATGAAATTAGAAATGTACCTTCATCTAGGCTTTTGTGTGTATCCGATGGACTGAAAGAATATGTGAAACTCATGTTGAATGTAACACCAGAATTAAGACCAGATGCACATCAGTTTTTAAAGGTATACAAATACAAAGTTCTCAATTCTGTGAAATATGTGCCTAAATGTTTTGAAAACAATTTTTTTCTCTTCAGATTCCATATTTTGAAGATGTCGGTGTCAAAGCATTGAATTATCTGGATTCTTTGTTTCAATGGGATAATCTACAGAAGTCGCAGTTTTACAAAGGCTTACCTCAAATTATCCAGAAAATGCCACACAGGATATGCATATATCGAATATTGCCTTGTCTCGCAAAAGAATTCGTCAACCCCACTATGGTTCCATTTGTGCTTCCGAATGTTTTGTTAATCGCTGAAAATTCCACCAAGGATGAATTTATAAGATTTATATTACCAGTATTGAAACCGGTGATGTTAATACAGGAACCAATTCAAATACTACTAATTTTTATGCAAAAGATGGAATTGTTGTTAAAGTTAACTCCAGGTGAAGAGGTGAAAACAGACATTCTTCCAATGCTCTATAGGGCATTGGAATCTGATGCGCAACAAATTCAAGAGTTATGTTTGTCTGTTTTGCCCACTTTTGCATCTTTAATAGACTACCCGGCAATGAAAAATGCATTGTTGCCTAGAATTAAAAAGTTATGCTTACAAACAAATTATTTATCAGTGAGAGTTAACTGTCTGCTGTGCTTAGGAAAATTGCTAGAACATCTGGACAAGTGGTTGGTGTTGGATGAAATTCTACCATTTCTCTCACAAATACCTTCACGGGAACCTGCAGTATTGATGGGAATATTAGGTAAACACTACACTTATATCATTATAATGTAAGAATTAGATCTACTATCGACAGACTGATATATGATGGACTTGTTAGTATAGTGGTAGCAATGTATGACTAAGAGTCATATGTGCGATCCCCACCGCATCCAAAATGTTAGGTTTCTGACACATGTTGAACTTTGAACAGTAGGAACAACAAAATTTCCGTTCGGGTCATAAACCACCGTTTGCGGTAAAGTTCATCGCATCGTCAATCGCGTTTCGGCTTCAGTTTGTGGAATTCCAAATATCCAAATATCCAAAACCTAAATAGGTTGATGGGGTATTTCACTATCAATCAAATAAACCCGGTGCTTCTCCATCCTTTATAAAAGAAATAATATCAAATAATATCAATCTCTTCTTGGATTGATTTACAGATGTGTTTGTTGGACTACTTGATAGAAGAATGTGTAAGACTAAATAGCAGCTTCATGTTTCAGGTATTTACAAGTTAACATTAAGTCACAAAAAGCTAGGTATTACAAAAGAAGTTATGGCTACAAAAGTGTTGCCATTTCTGATACCACTTTGTGTTGAAAATGGTCTTACATTGAATCAGTTCAATGCACTTATATCTTTGGTGAAGCAGATGATTGCTAAAGTGGAGACCGAGCATAGAGCGAAATTGGAACAGCTTAATTCTATACAAAATGAATCAAAGTGAGTTTTTATTTTTAATTTATGTATTTATAGGTATATATACAAAATATTTTTTTCTATCTATAACATTTTATCTCCAGAATAATGGAGCACGCGCTAACATCGTCATCAGACACATTAGTACCGGCTCCAACACCTCAGACCGACATTGACAAAATGTTCTCTGGACTTGGTATCGATACTTCCTCATATAACTCCAAGACAACTGTAAAGCAATCATTTTCTTCTATCAGTGAGAAATCGCCTCTTTCATTGACTATGGAAGACAAACAACGGTAAGTACTGAAATAATATCTTTTTGTTAATATTGTAATTGTGCACACTAATTAGTGTTAAGCCATAACAACTCTTGTTCTGGTAACCTAAAATATCTAACAAAAAAAATAAATGTACAATACAAAAGTCAGGAGAACTCGCTACTAAGGCCAAAAGTGAGTGCTATTTTTTATAACAACATAAAATATATATTTTTCTTCTAACTTAAGGAGAATATATTAAAGCATATGGCCTGACCTGAAAAGTTATAAGTATACCAATTATTATGTTTGATGGCTAATAGAAATTAGTAAACCGAATTTCCGAAAAACTCAAAATATGTTAGTTGGCCTTAATACCCACTCCAAAGAGGACCCAAATGGTTCGTATAAAATATACAGACGCCGCTCCCCGGCAGTACACTTGAACTTTGCTACCGCTTTGCTAGACGATGGATTCGATGAAATTTTCGTCGAATTTTAGAACATACAGTATATAAAAGTGAGGTTTTGTTAATAATATTGTCATACTCCTGTTCCAGGCTAGCTCAGCAGCAAGACTCCGTCAGAAAAGCGCAATCTACAACTCTTTCTACTCCGCAGGTAGTTCCTCTTCGGCAACCGCCCAAGGCCATCGATTTAACTAGCTCATTGCTTCAATCTAATCTCAACCAGCTATCCAACACGCAATCAAACATGGGTAAAACGATGAATAACTCCGGTTCAATGAATAACGCACTAGGACATTCTTTTCAACTTAATAATACTCCCGGAAATTCTACTATGAGTAGCCCGAGTACGTTAGGTGGCTCTATAATAGGTAGCAGTAAGACGGGGGTTATGAACAATTCCCTGGGGAGTATGATCTCCCCCTTCTCCGCACCCGTGAGTAATGCGGTCGCCCCCATGGGCAGCGCAAGTGCGCTAACGGGTCTGTGTTTGGACAATAATTCGAGAGGTTCCGCGTATCCAAATCAAATTCCTTCGACTGCGTCATGGAGCAGTAGTCCGAGCGGCAACTTTAACAATAAGTGGACCGCTAGCCAAACGAGTAGCAAACAAGATTGGTCTGCCTTTGAATCTCTTTTGCCGAATTCGAATGAAGCTAGTAATAGTAATGTAAAAAAGCCCAACAACAACGAAATGATGGATTTACTCGGTTAATCCTTTCAATGCACGGCTTAAATAACTTCTTATTTTGGTACTGTAGGACGCAATTTGCCTGCACTCATAAAATCAATTGACGAAGGTAGTCATCGTGAGTGTTCGAGGGTCGAACGGGACTTTGGTAACATTCCTAATCCAATAGTGAGATATAATCTAGCAGTCATAGCGATTATGCGTAAATACCATATATCTCACCATAGTGTCTCAGTTATTAAATCTGAGTGTGTGATTCTAAAGAATAACACTAGTTTTAAAATAGGGACACATGTTTTCAAAAAAATATTTATTTATTATTATTGATAATATAAATAATAAAAAATAATTTTGTATTATACTTGGGTAGGAGAGGTACGATTTTATTTAATTAGGTCGAAGTCGAGAGTCGTTGTTACCTCCTTTTTTCCACGACTTCCAGAACCTCAATCATATTATAATATACATATATATGATTTTATTATGCTTCGAGCTCCATTTATGCTCCATAAAAGGGGTAAGTAAGGTCGTATGAATAGAGAAATTAAAACGACTTTGTACTTTTAACTTTAATTATAACTTACTTTTCATTATAGATAGATACGCCATAATGTTACTCTTTCAGTATACAACAAACATTATTTATTAACATTATAATTTCTTATACTAGTTACAAAATAAAAAAATGATCTCTATATATAATTAGTTCATTGTGTTTATTTTAAGTATAGCCTTACTTGTAGATATTTTGTAATACAACTCAGCGGAACAAGAAAGGCTCACAGCCGCAATAACCTAATCGTCCCTTTACCTCCGGCGCCTGAAAGAGGCTACTAAAAACACGCAAGCGGTTCCCGTTTGCAATAAACTCGCTATAAAAAAGCAAGTCCTGTACGTGTAGCTGTAGGAAACCGCCCAAACCATTATCGCAATAGCGACCAGAGTGTTCGCCGTGGTCACGGTCGCCGTCGTGTCGAACTCGTTGAGGCTGTCGTGCAGAGATTGCTGCAGAATTCCACTCGTCGCCGCAGCCACACTGGAGAACATGCACCAAACGACGAGGTAATTCTTATTCGACGAAAGTGTCACTCCTGTAATAACAATATTATAATCTACTACTCCTGCTGATTTGTGCTACATGTGAGACGTTTTGATACATAACTAAATACGTACCATAAAACCCGATTGCACCACAGATGCAAAAAATTGTACAAAATTTGGTCTTTTCATTGATGTTGCTCGGCATAAATATGCACAGAATTACAAAGCTCAGGGCCGCCGCATGTCCGATTGCTGTCAGCACTGATATCTAAAAACACACGTCATATGCGTGAAATGGTTTAAGGACGTCGAAAACTCGTGGGGAACTCTGGATCGAAAGAAACTCACCGACCAAATGTTCAGGGATGGATTTTGCTCCCACATTAAGGGCGGGAAAAGAACGCTCAAAGTCAGTACGCTGTACGTAGTGCACAAGTGCAACAGTGTGTAAAGATAGAAGTTGAAATCTTGCACCATGTTCACTACTGTGATGAAGTTCTTTTTCAACGATGCCGTTCGCCTAGCCGTTCCCGGCGTTGCGTCAGCTGCAAAAACTGAATTGTTCGAAGTGGGAGCGTTCACCGTCGTCTCCCGGTACAAAGGCTGAGGGTTGACCCGGTCAATACTCTCCAATTCTTGATAACCGATTGTACTGTAATTGACGTCCAGAGTACCGAAGTCGGAAGAGAAGCGATTCGATCGCGAGCCAAACGCAGAACTGAAATCCGTTGAGAACCTTCCTCCATTGCTATCTTGACGCGCTTCTATATCGGGGTCGAGAATCTCTCTAGCTTTTCTATTGGATTTGAAAACGACTACGTCATGCGCATCTTCGTCTTGGGTAGAGACAGGATTGGAAGCCGCCCGTGGCTCTCGCCGAAGTTGATTCGAAAATATGACTTCATCGTCATCTTCGACGGCATCTCGCAACATATTGTACGTGCTTCTTATAACTCTTTCTATGTAGATGGGACGCGTGAAAGAGGCCAGGAACAGGCAGTTCTGCATGAGAATAGCCCCCGTTATCATTACGACTGTGTCGCTGGAATAAATAGTGCATAGATAACCGGTCAACAGTGGCGAGAGGACGTTCCCCAACGAAGGTGCAACCTTAACGATTCGCTGAGCGGTCGTCAGTTTTTCTCGGAAGTAATGCGTAATAATTACGTCTGTCTGCTGTCCTGTAATTGCGCTTCCAATACCTGTAAATCAAACTACATATAAAATAATAACCTTTGAGTCGTAGGTTTTAATCTGTGTTAATCACTCATCATTGTAAGAAAACAACGGTTTAAATGGCGTAGGTATACCTACATTAACTCCTACTACGAGTTAGTTCAAACAAACTCATTAAGTGAATCTCACTTGTGTCTAACAGATAAGCAAACCTTTCGATAACAAATCGGTTAAACCGATTAACGAGTTGAGTAATTAATGGAGATGACAATTCTTACTCAATACCTATGTTCATATTTATTTCTAAATTATAGAACGACTTTTGTGCCCAAACTTAACTAAAGGGTGGGGCAGGCAGGTGTAGCATTAAGAATGAACCGATAATGACAAAGTAAACAATAATTTGGTCACTTTGTAGCGTATTGTTCTACGACCTTCAGACGCAAACCTGTAAATCATACAATTGAATGAATTTACGTAACACCTTGAGTGTTTCTTTGTTAATTTAAATCTATCTTAAAAAATACTGATCGCTACGTCAAGGTGTGACTGTTCATTAATTTATTGTGTCACGGCTGTGTAACTCGCAGAAAAACTGTTAGCTTGTTTCTTGTTGCGTAGTATGTAATGTAAAATTAAATAAATACAAAGTTCGAGGCAAAATAAACTTACCTATGAAAATTCCCGAAAATATATTCACAATATGGTCATTGTTATACACACTTGTCGCGTAACTCGAAAGCAAAACACCCGCCACTGTCATACATAGCCCAGCCAAGGCTGTAAAACGAGGCATGTTAATAATTCTAGTGACAGCCCTGCACCATGGCTCCAACAGTAAACGTATCACAGTTAAAATAACGGGCACTAATGCTACGTCCACGTCCCACACTCGCATTCGTTCTCCTTCTTCGTGATCTTCTTCTCGTATAGATTTTAAAATAATAAACCCATAAAGCATCAAAATAGTAGGGACTGTTACATTGTATATTACAGCTGCGAAGACTATCAGCCACCCGTAACCCCCATCGGGAGGGGTTGGGCCGATCTCTGGCTGCGAAGCGACAACCCTGTCCAGATGAAGATCTTCGACCCTTTCTCTTCTATTTGTTGTCCCATTTCCTGATTCTTCCATTTTCAAAGTAGATTCATCACTATAATCGTAAATCCCAGTAGTTATCGAGTATGAATAGTAGGTGTTATCTTATCATTATCTTCGCTGTAATCAACACTGTGCTACATTTTTTCGAATTGCCGCCATCGTGGTGTTGCTATTTTTAAATTAAAAAGTGATATTTAAGCAATCTGTGGTCTATGACACCCAATAAAGAAAGTCTCATATATTCTGTACTATTCTGGGTACTCTGTGACATAAATAATTAAGCTTAAAAAAGTCAATTGAAAATATTAAACATTGAAGCGACGCTTTGGTTAAAATCTCATAATTTATTTAAATACAAAATGAATAGGTAAATAGTATGTGTATAATAAACATTGGTGCCGATATTATAAGTATTCTAAATGAGTATAAACTGCTTGTGTCAATGCCCTCCCTGAAGTATTTTAATTGCTCCGATTTCGTAATTACATGGTCGGTTATTGCAGATCTGTGAATACGCTATTCCATGGATAAGAGGAGCTTCATAATTATACGATGGAGACTGAATCTGTAAGATCTGAGTTGAGCAGTCGATCGCGGAGAAGTTCTAGACACCGACAGCACACTCATAGAAGTACAAGGTTTGTTTGTGAAACATTGAAAAATACTCTACTTATTTGTTTGGGATTATGTATTTATATAGCCACTATTACTTTAAGTTGCATTGTTTAGGTATAAATATATACTGATATGAACATTATTATACTACTCTAAGAATCTAACCAAAAATTATACATTATATGTTTAAGGAGTAGATTGTTAGACTTACTCATACCAGGGTCTATGTTAACTGAACAACTAACAAAACTTGAGACTAATTACACTGTTTTTATATGTCAATTTTATTTCTTACAGGAGTACCAAATCGCAAAAGAAAGACTGTGTAGATAGTAGTATGGCACCTTTTCAAACTAGTGTAAATATTAACCCTGATATTGGACGTGATGGCCAAGAAGTGATAGAGGTTCAAATTCTTCCTCAAGATGAAAATTGGGGTGAAAATACCACTGCCATTACTGGTAATACTTCTGAAGGGTCGGCTTCAATGGAAGACGTTAGCAATTGGCCTATAGAATCAGACAATGGACTAGGATTTATGTGTTCTAGATATTTCACAACCACCATAGGTTTAGGATTATCATTTATGTCCTTTGTGAGCCCATTGGCTATGGTTGTGCTGCCGAAAATAGGATTCTTTCCTGGATTATCAGATAATATTGCGATTCAACCGAGTCAACGAATACAACTGCTCTCATGTACAGGGGAATGTAAAGGAATTCTGCTTTCTATAGCATTTAAATTAGTTTTGCTAGCAATAGGGGTATGGGCCGTTTTTTTGAGACCTAGAAATGCAGTACTGCCTAGAATATTTGTGTTTAGAGCTATGATGTTTGTTATACTAGCAGTATGTACCTTTTCATACTGGTTATTCTATATTGTTCAAATCACAGAAGCCACCAAGGCTCTCGCCTTGGGGGAAGAAGCAGTCGACTATACATCATTAGTGTCATATGTTTCTAGTTTTGTTGATACCCTTTTATTTATACATTATACGGCCATAGTTTTAATGGAAATAAGACATCTGGAACCTGTGTACTATATCAAAATTGTGAGGAGCCCCGATGGAGAGAGCAGATCTTATGCTATAGGACAGTTAAGTATTCAACGAGCTGCAATTTGGGTTCTCCAAAGATATTACACCGAATTTCCAATATATAACCCATATTTAGAAAAAATACCAATATCAAAATCGCAAAGGAAAGCTGCTTCAAGCATAAAATTTTACGATGTGGACGCGAAGTACAAATGCACAAACTGGACAGGCAAGGTAAGGACCTATCATTGTTGAGTATTTTTTGATATACCCAATATGTGCTTCTAATTTGTTTCTAAATCATAGACTATTTTGAAAATAGTTCATATAAGATTAGTGAAATTTTCGTTTAAGTTAATAATAAATTGTGCGATTTTTATTATACATAATTAGGATAATTTAAAGTCTGCAGCAAATAGTCACAGATATATTTCTCTTTGCAGGAGTGGCGCCGGATCGTGCACCGGCAGTGCGGGGCGAAGGCGCGACTCCGGCTCTGCACACAACGAGCGGTACTACGAGGAGGCCGAGCGCGAGAGACGAGTGCGCAAACGCCGGGCCCGCCTTCATACTGCAGCCGAAGATGCTTTCGCGCATGTTCGGAGAGTTCGCCTCTCTGCTAACGGTGCGTTTAGTTTATTTCATTATTTGATCGATAAAATGTAAATAATTTCAACATCTGCTTATTTATGGTCTTTAGACTAGCAAGCATACTACCATCAACTTTTTTTTTATTCCAAATTTTATTAACATAGATGTTGAACTATTTTGTTTAGTTAGATTATATAATAACCATAGATAATAATAAGTTTTGGTAAAATCCGAGCAGGTGGCGCGTTGGGCCCCCGCGAGGCGGCGCAGGCCGTCTTCCCATCTCTGGCACGCGCGCTGCAGAAATATTTGCGAGCGACCCGACAACAGCCGCGTCATTCTGCCGATTCGGTATGTCTTTATATAATATTATATTTTGGTATGGCTATAAGTTTACATCAGCCGTGCTACAGTGGGATTGGATATTTTAATGAAATCAGAATATAAAAGAGCTTGTATGACACGCAGATGAAATGTACGTCGGTTATGGTTTTACAGGTACTGGCTCACCTGGCACGCTGCCTGTCGCAAGATGCGTCCCCTCGGGCGTTCCTGGAGCCCTTCCTAGTGGAAGGACCCGTCTTGGCCGCCGAACAAGAAGCTCGCACGACTCAGCGCTGGTCCCTCATATCGGATGAGCTCTTGGCTCGACCGTTGGCCGACAACATCGAGTTTCAACTGCGCCAAGGAGACATCTCGCTCATATGCTCAGTGAGGCAGCTGCCGAAGTTCAATCTGAGCGAAGAGGTGGTGGACCCGAAGAGCAACCGCTTCGTTCTACGGTTGAACAGTGAGACATCGGTTTGACACGAAGAGATTTGCGTGAGGGAGGATATGAGATTGGTATGACACGATCTTATAGTGTAGCCAAAAGCAGGGTCGATGGGCTCAGGCGACCGATTTTCTTGACTTTATCTCCATTGACAGATCAAGATAGTCAAGGGATCTGAAAATACTCACAAGTTGTCTATTTAAGTATTCAAGACTATATCATAGCATTTATTAACATATACTTGTATATTATGTGTCATATCGTTCTAGGCTTAGATAGATAGTTCTTATTCATACAATTAATGCTGGTTTGCTGAGATTTACTCAATAGGTGTCCTGTCACAAATCTCGGACTATGTCACGAAGGGCCGAGGCCAAAGTGCAAACGATGCGCACACATTTAAGTGTTCTTTGGAATGTTAGGATTAATCCTTTACTAGATTTAATTATTTTAGCAGATTAAGTACAATCAGGTTTTATTTTATATTATGTAATCACGGCCCGGGCCATATTTTCTATATTTAAATATATAAAAAAACGTACTTTATACTAAGTAAATATATTTATTGTACGTATCAAGAAAATTCTCAAAAACATGCTTTTGCATATTTGGCTATATTAGTTTGTAACGAACGTATTAGGTCTCTATTTATATCTAAAGTTAGACCTTTGTATTTTAATGTCACAAAGAGTGTTTGATACTTGTTCATGTGAGTCGTGCAAGTGTGGAAATAGTAATAATCTCAGTAATAGTAAGTAGATATAATTGGTTAAGTATTGGCTTTTGCCAAAGCACTGCTTAAAATAGGGTCACATATCATATTGATATAAAAGTGGGGCTTGGCTGATTTCACCAAAGACGTGATGTAGAATTGTAGAACGCCACCATATTCCGTTACTTGACCTTTTTATGTTTGTTTGTTTAAATTTAACGTTTGGTTAAAATGGATGCGGCGAACCCTCCCTGTCATTTATACTCGATATATCTATATCGAACTGTAGTTTAGTTTTGGTACTCGATCCTCTTGTTCTCCTGAATTAGCTAAGATAAGGTTCTATCTAATGATAAACTACCTCTTCCACTGACTGTAAACTGTCGCTCAAAAACTAGTTGTATAGTGCCTAGTGCTTATTGGCGTTCGATGATTTTTATGCGCTTCGGATACACACTTTTAATAAGATCGAAGTTAAAATAAGAGCTGTCTCATTATATGACGTGTCGGACGCTATCTGTAACTAAATAAGATTATGAAAATAACAACCCTTTGGGTGCCGACCTCTGTCAGATTGTTCTTAGTCGAAATTTGGATTGCAATTTGGCTACACGTTTCGCCTGTAGCACCGCTTAGGCTATTCATATATCTGTAAGAAAACAAACGTTTCTCACCTTGGAATACAAAGGTGAGAATTTTAAATGTACGTAAAAGAAATTGTGTAACGCACTGCGAGAAATATGGGTACGGTCCAAAATGTAATTAACGAGGAGAAAAGAGGCCGGTTTTATACAATTCCGATATGAGACGACTCTTTTTCGTAATGCCAGTTTTTTGCGGCTGCAGCTGTGCTGTGTAAAGCTCAGTAAGAATAATTGAAATCAAAGTTGTTTATTGTCAGACGAGATGCAACGTCAGCCTCGAATGTAGCACAAGCTAATACATCGGTATATACCTTGTACACTTTTGTATTTTATAAATATTTGAAGTGAAAATGTTCCCTTTTAATTATGGACAGGATCTAGAATTTGATATACTTTTTCATTGTTTTAGTGAAGTATAAATCTGTGAGAATATAATTTGACAGTTTATATGATGAAGTAAGTGGAGTGTGAAGTGAAAGAGTACATATCAAATTGGTTTAGAATTAAAAAAAAATCATAACACGGTACATTGGATGAGACTAGGCTTTAAAGCATGTTTAAGAAAATAAAGAGCGAAACAAGCAACAATGTTATCATTATCGCCTACCCGAAGCGAAAGGTGAAAATTCTAAGGAACCTATGACAAAGACTTAGTTAATATTAAAAAATATTAATGCTTTTAATCCACTAATCCAAATCCAGTAAAAATACAACGACTCGGAAAATTCGATTCAGCTAAAACCCGGCCTGTCAAAGTTTTCCTGACCTCGCCAGCTATAGTAAAAGATATCCTACTAAAAACTAAAGACAAGACAAATTCTATCAAATATTTTCTGACCAAACCCCACTACAACTAACTATTTTAAGAAACTGAAGGAAGAATTGGAACGTCGAAAGAAGGAAGGCGAGACAAGCTATGTATAAAATATGTTAAAAGTGTTCCTAAAATTATTAAAAGTAATACAAAAAAACAAAAAAACAAAAAAAACAGCAACAATAAAGTTAATCATCAAGTCAAAACACTACTAGATATAAAAACGGATGCTAAAATTCCTATACGCAAACGTACGAAGCTTGGTAAAACCAGGGAAATTTGATGAACTTAAATGTATTCTGGCAACACTAAACGCACAAGTGATTGCTCTAACAGAAACGTGGATTAAGTCGAAATCGGAGGCTCAAAGCCTACACATACCAAACTACACTCATTTTTACAATTTCCGTCAGAATAATAGAGGAGGTGGTGCATCTATATATGTCCATAATGATCTGAAACCTGAACTAATAGAAGAAAAATCTGATGATGATAATCATTTTGTTTGGATTCACATCAAAAAATTTTGTTATATTGGAAAAATTAACAAACCTGAAAGATCAAATACTAAAAATTTCTAGAAACCTTATCAACTTACCTTCACAAAAAAAAAAGTATTACTATTGGAGATTTTAACTATGACCTTCTAATATTAATAATAACACGAGTCTTTAAGAGAAACTGTAAAAGCTAATGGATAACATTTTTGAATAAACTAAAAACCCAATTCTGTACCAGAGAAACAGCTACCTCCAAAACTATATTGGACCATGTTATAACAAATATACAAGACTTTGACTACAATATTTTCCTAATTAACTCCTCTCTTTCTGATCATAAACAAATTTATGTAGAAATGAAGAATACCAAAATACCCCGCCTAAAGGCGCCTTGGACAAATATCAGAAATTATAGAAGACTATGATGAACTAATAGAATTAATTACTAATGCTATTAATAAAAGTAAAACAAATAAATACAAGAAATTAAATCACCTACAAATGATTGGATTGAAAAAATACTATCGACTATTAATAAAAGAAATGAATTATGGAAGGAAAAAAAGAAAACAATAACACAAAGTAAAACATAAATTCCAAATGGAAAGAAACAAAGTATATCAACACATTCAAAAGAAGAAACGTAACTATTATCTAAATTTATTTGAAAAATGTAAACAAAAACCTTTAAAAATGTGGCAATTAATTAATGACTTAACGAATAGAAGTAATAGCTCCCAGTCTGAGACTATAACCAAACTAAGGACTAGTTCTGGATTGATAATTACTGAATGAGATCTGTGCAGACTTGAATACTTTCTTTGCAAATGTTGGATCGAACTTAGCTAATGAAATTATTAAGCAAAACCCCCACAATTTATTAAACTTCATGACTCACACATCCACACACTTTAGGACAGCTTTCTCCAGTTACTCCTGAAAAGTAACTAAAATAATAAATAACCTTAAAACTAATTGTAGTATGGGAATTGATCAAATTAGTGCTAAAACTATCAAAAATATAAAAAATGTTATTTTAATCCCCTTAACTAAATGCATAAACAAAAATCTAGAAAGTGGTACTTTCCCAGATTCTCTAAAGGCTGCCAAAGTGACGCCAATACATAAAAGTGGATGTAAAATGGAACCTAATAATTATAGACCCATTTCAGTATTGCCAGTTTTATCTAAAATATATGAAAAAATTATACATACAAGACTGAGTGAATATTTGTGTAGCATACATTATCTTAACGACAATCAATATGGATTCAGAAATAAAACTAATACTCTTGCAGCTACTATTGATCTAGTTACAGAAAAAAAACTAAATTGAAAAAAACGTTGTACTGGGAGTATTTATAGACTTAAAAAAGGCGTTTGACACAGTGACCAAATTACTAATTCAAAAACTAGAAACTAGCTTGGTTTAAAAGATAAAGCACTAAGTATTCTAAAATCCTATCTTACAAATAGAACTCAGTTTGTAAAAATGGGCGATTGTTTAAGCAGCTTAACTGGTGTCAATTTTGGTGTTCCACAAGGGTCAATATTGGGTCCATTACTGTTTCTAATTTACATTAACAGCATTAATAAAATAGGCCTAAAGGGAAGAGTTACTTTATATGCAGACGATACGTGCTTGTTTTTTTTAATCACAACATACAACGTCTATAAAAGAAGCTCAAGCTGACCTGTGTCTATTACAGAGATGGTTTTCAAGTAACTTGCTGACAATCAACACTTCTAAAACTAATTATATCATTATATCTGCAAAGAATAAAAAAATACCACACCATGCTCCACACAAACAATGGAACATACTAAATAAAGTCTGTCACGAAAAATATCAGGACTAATTTTAGACAACCATTTAACATGGTCACCCCATATTGATAAACTACGGTCAAAACTTCTCTCTTACAGGGTCTCTACCAAAATTGCAAAATTACTACACATAAAGTAAAATTTATTATATACAATTCATTAGTCAAATCACACTTAGAATATCTTATAGAAGTATGGGGTTCCACCAGCAAAACAAATCTAAACGCAGTTCAAGTTCTCCAAAACAGAATCTTAAAATCTTTATTTGAATTAAATTATTTTACACCCTCTGAAAAAGTTTATACCGGAATCAAAGTAATGACAGTAATCCAAATATATCGCTATAATACAATACTTCTCATTCATAAAATACTACACAAACAAATACACTCCCAAATAACAATTTCCAAAAATTGCTCTAATCGCTCACTTAGAGGATCCAGGCAATTCAATATTATCCTACCAAAACCACGTACAAATTACGGGAAAAAAAATATTCTTTACGAAGGGGTTAAACTTTATAATTCGTTGCCAAAGTCCATAAAAGACATCAGTAACTTAACAACTTTCAAAAAAATTTTGAAAAGCCACATTTTAAAAGGTCCTAAATTTTAAGGTTAAAAAGTTATATTTTATAAACGTGTATATTTCTACTAAAAACAAAAATTTTAAAACATTGTTAAGTTTATATAAAATATTGTGGTAAAAATCGCATCATGTAAGCCCACCTTAAAAGTAATTACCTGATCGTAAAAACACATCGTCTACAATTCACAACTCAAATTGTCTACCCTCGTATATTTAAAAGTTTGCTTTATGTTATTTTAAACTCGCAATGCACTGAACTGTAAGTATTTCATATAATAAGCTATGTATATTCTCATAAGTGATTGTATATATAATCTTCGAGAATAAATTCTTTAAACCTAAAACCTTTAATCAAATTGCAGACTTGAAGAAATATTGGAAACCCTGCATTGGTTCCACACGGTATCGTTACAGAGTGACTCATCTCCTTTAAGGTCCACCGCTAAGAGGCATGTGCACCGGCAACAAGGAATAACCAGTTGTAGCGTGCATATTCTTAATGAAATTAAATTTGGAGTGTCTCTTCGGCACCATCACGTAAATCCAAGCGGCTATAAACGTCAACAACACACAAGCTGACACGGCACCTATCACGGCCCCCGTTAAGTGCCTCTCGACGGGACACACAAAGTACTTGTTATGTATTTCCGTGATCTTGCCGTTGAACAGAGGCTTCGGTGTAAAACATCTAAAAGAGAATAACTATTATGTATTTACGAACGACCCGTTTCCGACGACAGGGCGCGGGTGTGATTCTGATGTTCTTATTTAAAATGAAAACATTTGCTCACCGAAAGTGCTCCGAGCTCCCGTCGTCGATTTGAAGCTGCTTGATCCAAATTAAACGACAGTCACAGTTCCACAAGTTCCCCTGCAGATCCAAAAAAACCAGCTGTCCTAACGGCAGGCGTAATCGCTCCGAGAGCGTCGACAATCTGGACCCCTTCAACGATAAAGTTTCGAGCGTGAAATCATCCGCGTCCTCCAAAACCTCTTGACCGAAAGCCAACGCGCTGAAGTCGCGCAGGTTCTTGTTTCTCTCCAGGTGCAGCTACCCCGGGAAGCGAAGCGAACGCATAATCCGGTATCTCGGCAATAGATAGGTTATTCAATTTCAACTCCCTCAAACCCGGTACGCTGGCGAAGTCCTCTCCGGATAAGTCGTCTATCGGGTTATCCGATAAGTCCAAATACTCCAGGGTGATCGGCAACTCGAATATTTCACTTATGTTGTTGTCGGACGCGATTAATTTTCTTACGTCGTAAGCGTCGACAAAGAAATTATCGGGGACCGTATTCAGGTCGATTCCTCGAATCGACAGCGATCGTATTTTATGCGTCAGCCCGTATCCGTTTCTATCGAATAAATTTCTGTCGCGAAGGCTCGGTCCCAAGTGATTGTCGTCCAATATGATTTCACTCAAATCGGCGAGATGATGAAACGATAGCGCGGATAGCGCGTGGAAGTCGTTATGTGCGAGGTTCAAATACTCCAGTCCCTTTATTTGCTTGAAGGTCTCCTTAGCGATGAACGTTAAATGATTATTACTTAAATCCAGTTTCTTCAATGCCGGCAGCTGCAGCGCACCGATTTCTATCCGGTGAATGCTGTTGTCGTGCAGCAGCAGCTCCGCGAGCGAGTTCGATCGCAAGACGAGCGTCGGGCGGACGGTCGTGATGTTGTTCCGCGACAAGTCTAACGACGACGCAGACGACGGGAGTTCGTAATTCTCTTCTAAAACACGAGCGTAGTACGAACAGTCAACTATTTCGCCGTAATCTTCCTTCTCGCTTTTGTTATTCACGCGACACACGCAGTGGCCACTTTTGCACAAAGACACATTGTCCACTCGACCGACAACGACTACAACTAACAGTAGAGAAATTATCAAACGCATCGTATGCGGCTCGTCATTAGGCAAGGTGCGACTGATTGCGTCGGGTCGTGATTGTGTTGTGAGGCCAATTCGTTATCAGTGCACCTCCGATAGCTCTTATCAGCGATACTAGGTTGATTGGTCATTTGGCAAATATAACGCAATTTAGTTTTACCATGGTTCTTTTTAATTCGCACCAATGTTTGCCACTTTTTCTTATAATGGTATGTAAGCACAAAATTAGTCGTAGACGAACAGATGTTTAGGACAACATTATTTAAAATTAATATGGCTAATAAAAAAAGAAAAAGTCATTTGCGATTCGTAATGAGTGCAAATTTAGGACGGCGATTTATTGTGAGATTATAGCGCGAAGGCGATAACGACTTACGACGAAATTACTCGTATATTTTTAAGTTAGACCGCGAACAATAGGCATTGTCTTCGGCCCATTAGGCCTAGAAGGGTCTTCCTCCAAAACTCGGAACTTATTTATGCGATCCTCCTGTGCCGTAAAACATATAATGAGAAACAATTATTATGAACTAAAATGCCGTCAATAAGATCCTTTATCAAAAGCGGCTGCGAGCGGTTTGGGTTGTGCCCTTAGTGCTGGGATCGTCGTGGGCCTGCGGAGCACAATTTCAAGTTATTTAAAATAGTCCACTAAATAAATTAAATAAGTAAATGGTTCATTAAGTGAGCTCACCTTTATGACGATGGACGAGCGCGGGCCCGTATTCCACAGTTCGCCCTTGTCGTCCACGAAGGCGGCTTCGGCCGCCACCGTGTATAAGCCGGCCGCGGTCACGCTGACGAGCTGCTGGGCCGAAAAGAAGTCGCGAATCGGCGTCACGGTCTGCACGGCGCTCAGCACGGGAGGGACGTTCGTCAATTCCACTGTCTGTGACCAGTCACGACGGTGAATCCGAATAATTATACTCCATTTCAATTTATTTAAAGACAAGTTTAGTTTAGATCTCACCTTTTCGTTAGTGCGCGGATGCGGTGTGGCCGTGACGGTTATCTGAACCCCCTTCACTTGCCTGGTCGGCTTCTTCTTATTGCTGTAAAGACATTTTTACTTTGGCATTCAAAAAACGAGATCGGAGACAACTTATTGGATAAGTTAACGAATGTATGTCGCAGTTCAAGGTGCTCACCGATGCGGCGGCAGTATAACTCCTTCCAGGTTCAGCGCCAGACGATGCGAGACCGGGAGGGTGGCAGCGTGCTCCGCGGGGGGCGGCCGCCACGGCGGGCTGAGGGAGACGCGGCACAGGGGCACCGCCCCGCCCCCCTCGCACACGTCCCGGGGCCATACTGCGCCCACCGCGCACGCTCGCACTGCCGCCAACACTGCCTCCAAGTGCTGCAAAAGCGGGAAGGACTAATTTACAAGTCCTCGTTTGGCCAGTACTAGTTAACTTGTCGTCTGCTGTAACCGATGAAAACGTCATTTCTTCTAGACGTATAGTTAAGTATCGACTTGAAATTTACCCGATGTGTAATCCCGGACGCCGTCGTCGGGTTGTCGAACAGTTTGGCGGAGATGTTGGCCAAAGCGACCGACGGCGCCAAAGCTATCGTCTCCTCCAAATTGGTGGGTTTGAGCTCCTTATTGGTGAGTTCCGGTCTGTCCACTTGGCTCATGGTGATGCGCTCCAAGAACTGAGCTAGTTGGCTGTAAGTGTATTGTGATCTGTCGCTAGATAAGGTAAACCGATGCGTTATTACATAAATAGAATTAGAATAGAGTTAAGACTGGTTCGTTAAAAGGATACATGCTGAAGAGTCTATGCGTCGAGTGGTGAGCGTGGAAGGCGGTGCGGGCGATGGCCCCATACTTCAGGGCCAAGGCGTTGAGGGCGCGAGCAGCACGACGAAGTGCGCTAACGCACGCTCCCGCGCGCGCTGCGGGGTCACGGGCCGCCTTTCATGTCAAAGTAAAAGTCACCTTTCTAGATTAACTCGTATAGTAAATTTCAATCAATTACAGACAAAATACAAACGTATCCTACATCTAAACTATGTGCTATTGAACAGAACGAAGGATAACTCTTTAGTATCCGACTAACCTGCGCATGCGCGAGCGCAATCGCCGGTGGGGGTTGCGTGCAAACGGCACGAGCAGCCGCAGCAGTTCTTGCCAGGGCCATGAGGGCATTGGCCCTGACGCTAGCCCAGGCCGGGGCCAGTGGGGAACATGCGGCGCAACCCCCGCACCCCGCTGAACACACCCCTCCGCGGCCCGTCGATAGGCCGGCGTCGCCGAAAGACTCCCATCCGGCGCTCGCGTCTTCCAGGCCACTTATTCCTGAAACGTTCACAAGTTTTTTGATGTAAAGTTCAAAGTAAGTTGTCAATCGTATTTGAATGGAATGAAAATTTAGCTCACCGGTTTCCAATAACTGAGCATCGGCTGCGGCGGCTTTGTAGAGGGCTATGAGCCACCGCTGAGCGGACTCACTGGGAGCTTCGTCAGCCAGACGCTTCAAAATGGCCGCCGCTACTCTGTGGTGCCCGTACCTGTTGTAATATTATTAGAAATTAAGATGTTAAACAAAATAGATTTTTTGGTATTAGACAACGTAAATAAAAGAACTGGCGATACCTTAGGGCGGCCCTAGCGACTCTATATCTCGTCCAGCCGTCTGCTCCAGCGACGGCGTCCAAAATTTTCTTCATCCAGGTATCGTTCAGCTTCATAGTGAGAGCGACGCGAGCGCGTTCTTGTAATAGCACCGTACATATGAGGACCAAAGTGGTGCCGTCGTAGCTCATGTCCGTTACCGCAGCGGCCCTACACATATTATTTACAGTACACAACTCTTCGCAAACTACCCACGAGAAGTTTTGGGGCAAGACTGACTTTAGTCATGAAGGAAATAATTAGCGACGTCTTTGGAAATATGTACAGTTAATTATGTTTTTATTGTAAACAATTATTTTACGATCATACAAATCTTATTTGAAATCAAAGCGTCAGTTGAATCAGCGGCTTGTATTATTATGTAGGTTTAGTAGAAGGGAGAACACTGATATGTTAGGTACTTACTTAGTGGCTTCTAGAGCCGGCAACAAGAATCGTAGCGCCGGCGCACAGTGCGACCCCGCTAATGCCGCAAGTGCCTCCAATAACGCCACCTGTCTCTTTCCCCCCGACGGGTTCTTCGCCTGGCACAATGGATAGTTGTCCCCCCACGACAGCCGCTGTCCTCTCCGCGTACAGCGCTGGTTCTGCTGTGCTTAATTGCACCTGTAAATAATAACAAAAGACGTCACCGTTTGAAAGTCGCCATTAACATTTAAGCGTTTCGGTGGTTAAGATACCTCAAGGCTAAGTTGTCACAGATTAAATCCAATTTAACGAAAATACAATAATACTTTTATAATAATATTTTTTTCTTTTCACTACATAATTAGCATGATGCTTACGCTGCAAAAATAATAGGAAAACCAAACTTTTAATTTTGAAAACATTAATATTGTTTACATGGTTTGCCGGTATGCTGCTTATTGGGATCCATATTTTTTAATATGGGACCCAGGTGTTTGATAATTTGAGGCCGTCCTCTCTATTGAAATTTCGGGAATTCACCTGGGACCCATATTAAAAACTCTGGACTCGAGCAGACCTGCAAACCAAAGACACCGTTAGCCAATTCTGCAAGGACCGGCCAGTTTCGCCAAATACCAACGTCGACGGAACAGTGCGCTAGCGTAGCAATATTATACTTTTGACGTTAGTGACATCCTCATTTTAGTCCCTTATACCACGCTGCCGCAAAGCATCCGAAACGTCGGGCCGAAGTTAAAAATCATTTCCAAATAAGTTGAACTAATATATCGCGTTTTAAACCGTTAAACTGTTTTATTTAAATATCAACCCTTTTGTTTACAATTATTATTTTGTTTGTGTTCAGAGCCCTTGCCGTTACGTTCGAATGAGCAAAGGCACAACCGCCAATGGTGGATGAGGTCGTCTTCCCACGTATAGGGCCTTGTATTTCTTACAGAGATAATTGCTAAAGAAAATCATCGCCACACCCGTTATATATTTCATGGGCCATGACACACAGTGTACATTACAATGGGTAAACTCCAGTTGTTTGGTTGGTGCCAAAATCCATGCATTATACTATACTAATATATAAAGTTGAAGAGTTTGTTTGTTTGAACGCGCTAATCTCAGGAACTACGGGTTCGAATTGAAAAATTATATTTGTGTTGGTCAGAGCATTTATCGAGAAAGGCAATAGGCTTCTATAAAACATCGCCCTGTGACTAATAATATTAAGCGATGATTGAGCGAGAATTAAAAAACATATGGGAAAATTATTCATCATAAAAACGGTACCAGATATCCAGAAAATATGTATAAAAGAATAATTTCTCTTCAAATGATCTAAAAAAAAGTCCACGACGCTATATGTTTATCTTTTAAGATTAACTTGCAAGAACGACGTAACAGTTTAAGTTTATAAGATGAAGGGATTCTGCAAAGCGAATTAGAAGCTCAAAATAACGATTCTTTCCTTACCAAACATCGCAGTGCTATCCGTAGAGGCTTAATGTGCCGATCTGCATCGTAACCAGTGGAAATGACTAGTGACTCGAGTGCCAGCATCAAATCGGCTCCTTCCACCGGTAGGGTTTCTTCATAACTGAAATGTTAATATTGAACTAAATGTACTGTTAAAGCAATAATACGCAGGATATTTTCGGTAGTCATTATTCCCTACAACGCAACATTGTTCTTAGTCTAGATTATATTTACCAGTGCACTACAATTCTCGTCAGCACGTCGGCGGCTATTGCTGCTTGATGCAAGTCAACGCTGAGAGCAGCATCGGAGCAGAATTGACGCAACGCACTCGGCGATCCCACGCGTGGGCTGCCAGCCGAGGCACATATAGCTGGGCAGTTGACTAACATCTAAAAACATACGTAGCAGTAACACTGTTTTATTTAATTTTTAGATATATGTGTTGAGTTTATGACGTTGAATTTAGTGATGAAGTACCTGCATAACTTGTAAGCACAGCATTGTATGATCGGGATCTTTCGTTTCAGTAGCAGCTCGCACTAGGTTTTGTATTGATTCTTCTGACCATAAAGCTGCATGTTCGGCCAGCTTACGTAAGCCCAGTAAGGCTGCACGACGCACCGATGATCGAGGATCGCTCATAGCTAGGCTCAACAGTAATTGCACCTGTACAAATTTACTAAGTAATACGACATTTTAATAAGTAATATTTTTGTGGCTACTTTCTCAAAATCACAGCCTCAATGGCATTTTTGTATATTTTATGAGAAGCTTTAAAACTCCATTCTTTCAAAAGCCTCCTTTTTTAATACTTACTTGATCGGGTACGTGGACAACCGTATCAGCAGCGATAGCAGTAAGTGCAGTAATGGCTGCTCTCACTGAACTTGAAGATGGAAATCTTTCAAGCAGGGACCGTAGCAATTTAAGCACCCCTTCTGCACGTACAGCTGGAACAATTAAGATTGAAAAAGTTAATTAAACTTTATAAAATTAGAAAGATTTTAACTTGCAGTGATAAATACCTCCTCCATGTACAGTCCTTAATGCTCTCACAAGTTTTGCTCTTCGCTCAGCTCCTGTACTTTCACACTCCACCATATCAGACAGTTTATTGCACATTGCCACAGCAAATGTACTAAAAAAAGTGAGAAACTTTGTGTTGAATTGCTTAATATTATTCTTCCTTATGTCAATGAATAATCTTAACTCTTCAGTTATTGTATTTCATGTTTAGAAGATGCAATAGTTTTCTCAAACTTCATAAAAAATTGAGTCTCAAACAATAAAAAAAGACACTTACTTGGAATGGGCGGCAAATCTAGTTGTGGCATAAATAGCAGCATCTACCTCCACATTGTCATGACTTTCCAACCCTCTACGTATAGCATGATGCACATTTTGTCTCTCTGGTATAATCCCAGCTACCGCTCCCAATGTTCGTAAAGCCAAAGCTCGAGCAACTGGGTCATTTGAATGTAACACACTAAACACTCGTCTCAGGAACTCGTCCACGTTCAAGATCTTATCTAAATGTTTCTCGCTTTGCTCGCAAACTCTTAAAACCCACAACCTTAAGAAGTTATTGCCCATGCGAAACACATCAGCAAGTTTTAGAAAAGATGAATTAATAAGAATCGGAAAAGGGTATTTCTCGAAAAGTCTCGGAAAACGCACTATTGCTTCGCATTGTTCGCCAACTTTTCCTGATCTCAGGCCTAAAAATAATTTAAACATTTTATTCTCGGCATATACTTTTTATAAATTTCAAAGAGATGTTTACCCTTGTCTAATTCGGTCAGTGCCGAATTAGCATCTTGCTCCGGTTCACCAGAGTTATCGTTGAATGTATTCATTCTAACACCTATCATAATTAAAATAGACTGATTTTTTAATATATCACAAATTCCAAACACAACCGAGGCAATAGGCATACAATCACAATGATTCTGTCGGCAAAACTCTTGATGTTGATTGTCGAATTCATGTCAGTGTCATGCATTAGTTGTCAAAGTCATTTATGAAGTTTCTTCAATTTATTACAGATAATTAAAACGTGTACAATTTACAGGTAGTATATGACTAAATATCTTCGCCAGATTTCTTGGGTAGGCTTGTATATGAACTTTTGCTATAAACTTTAAATGTGACTTCATTTATATTCATGGAAAATCGGATAAAGTATTTATAGATGAAATACCGACCTCGATCAAATTTCTAACACTTTTCCACATAATAGTTTCAGTTTTCTAGACACCTTGGCTATTGCCGTAGATGATTTCTGGAAGCTGAAGTTTCCCACGGGCAACAATAACCAACACAATTTACGATGTGCACGATTCAATAATACGTAAATCTATAGGCCTGCACACTTAAAGTAAGCGAATCGCTCGTTAACAAGATATCAAATACCTGTTTGTATATCAAATAGTAAGTGATTAGACAGTTGCAAAATACCAGTATAGTCCTATAGACGGACGACTAAAATTAGCTATGGTATCGGGTATTTAGTGACAGCAATAATTACAGCCGCTCGAACTACCGGAGCTGTTTGCCGCCATTACGGAAATTATACACTCGGATAATGTTCAGCGCCGCTTTACAGATTGGTATAATATATCTATTTGATTGTTGGGAAGTATTCATTCTTATGAGTTTATTAAAAATCGCAAGTGACAATGGAAAAGAAAGTATTAACATATAACAGGTAGATTATACCAAAGAATAAGTCGTTACTAATGCTAAGAATTTGCACAGCGCTTAATATTTTAAGGTTTTAGTTTCTTCCTAGTCATTGATAACCATTAAACATACGATGTCACATTAAATTGCAAAATTGAAGTGTACATGATTCAACAGCGTCGTTACGAACGGATAGGTACCTACCTATTGAAAAAACAGCCTTAACTTAAAAAACTAATTTCTTTGTCACCTCTTGCGCAATTATTCTCTAATAAATGTAAAGTATTGTTTCCTATTGTGGTTCCGTAGTTGCAAATCCTTCCGGATAAGAACAAAAGGGTGTTGTCATAATAAGATACAATTCTGTAAGATACACGCAAATCTATGAACTCCGGATATGAATAAGAATAGAGGCTGACAACCCGAGCGTAACAAAGACATTTCTTAAATGTAAATAAGGGCCAGAAGCTTGACGATAATCTTTCAAATTGTTGTATTTTTTTTCTCAGATATGCTACTGGTTTTAAGGGACAAAAGATCAATGGAAGGATTAGTTTTAGGCATAATCAGCGCTACACCTTTTCTTAAAGATCTTACGGAGAGAAATCGATAAGATTCATGGGTATTTTCCCCATTAGCTGCCTCTGCGTCATCTCAGCTTTGCCATCCCTATTTACTTATACAGCAAATGTATTAATATTTTTTAATTACTCATACAAATACGAATATAATCCCATTCGAGGGCAGCGTTGGGCCTATGTCAATAGATTTCAGCTATAATAGGTGCGATCATGAGCCGCGCCGATTATTTTGATGCGCCCGAGTGTCGACAAATATTTGTTTGCGATGCTCCTGAGCATAAAAGGCATTAACCGGATACAATAGAAAGAAATGACCAGATTTAAAAGTTTGGTTCAGTGTAGTCATTAAAAATTTTAAATCGAACCGATTGTATCGTTTTCAAATTGACTTACAGTTTTTTGCATTGAAGTAAAGTTTATTTACGAAAACTTATTTAACAAGTAGGAAAATAAGTTCCGTCTAAAAGTTGAGAGTCGAAGAAACAACTTATTACGGTTTGTTCCTGATTTATTATCAAAAAAGACAAGCGAAATGAGTAAAATGTAATCTAGCTTTCATAGATCTCGTTGGAAATAAGCGACTTTAGGTGCCGAATGGAAAAGAGAAGCATTAGCGAACTTCGCGCACGGCGGGAGTGACATCGGCAGGGGTACGAAGCCATTCACGGACCCCTGCTATTTATTTGCTGTGAATATTATAGAATTATCCCGCCATAATGCCTATGCACAATAAATTGTGTTACTTTTTTATTTGACCGTAACCATCACACGGTAGACGACGAGGTCGGCAGTGTCTTTTCAAAATTATATACTCATTCGTGCTCTCAGTATTTCGCCTCCCGTCTGACGATATCTTTTGCCTTTCGTTCTTTAATAATAAGCGGAGAAATATTCGATACTCTAAGGAAGCCCTTGTTCGATTAAAGATAAAAAATATAGTTTTGAAATAGACCTTACCTTTAGAAGAGATAAGGAGCGTTAAACGTGCTGCTACAATCAAAACATTGTGCCTAATCTCTTTGTGCGGTTACATCTTAAAAACATTTGTATAGAGTGTCTGCACCTTGAAGGGGCGTATTGTTTAGACTGAGATCGCGATCAGAATAACACTTTATCTGAACGTAGCTCAGAGGTTCCTGAATCCTGGGAAATAACACATTCAATCGGATGACAGGTCAAAAAAGTATAATCAACTATCACTAGTATGACCTACTTAGTCTCTAAATAGTGTCTTTGCCCATGCCATTGCAAAAATAGTCATTAATTAATTGAATTAATAATGTATGTTAGACTGAGAGGGCTTGGGTTCGAATTACCGATGTGTATATATCGATCGGAGCCACATATAACGTATATAACGGAGGCACATATTTCAGTTGCACAATCGCAGCGGCAGGGAAGCACTCTGATATTACATCACAGGCTGCCGGCACAAGGGGTGCCTAATAAATCAAATTACTAATGCGCACGTTACATACTAACTGCCGGGACGTGACTATTGTTTGTTTTCTACCATATTACGTCAATTTTCGACGAGTAATATATAATTTTCAAAACTTACACATATATAAATATAAGCCGGACCTTTCTTTAGCTATTTACGGAAGATTCGCTCGTCAGTTAAACAAAAGGAAATATCTGCAAGGGTGGGTAAATACATTCCTGAGGTGCTCATTTAATTCTAAGTGACATTTCCTATTGTAGCAATTGTAAGGATCGAAATACTAAACCTACGGTTTCAGTTTTCGTCGGAAGCTACAATAGCGATCATTGTGGCTGAATTATGATCAATTATTGTGACCACATTGAAATTTGATATTTTGTTGCTTGCCTGCGGAATAAGAATGCTTCGAATAAGTACACAGAGAACGACGGTTCAGACGGATTGAAGCGATAACAAGATCATAAAACGATTACTTATTCATATGTACCCATTATGTTTAGGCCTACCTACTAGGGCTAGGTGAGGTAAGTAACTATCTATAGCCCCATACCCACTCTTTCCAACACAGGTAGATTTCAATAGACGCAGGCCCATTACTGTTTGTAATCACAACTCAACACCGTGACCGAAGATCCTAGATAATAAATACTCCATGAGTTGTTACTGATCTAACTTTGTATTAATAACAAATAAAATATTCTATAGGACAGTGGCAAGGATAAAGTAATTAAAAGAAAGACAAAAGTAATAGACCTAGCGAAGGAAAATATGTGACTAACATAGAGATGGGTCGGGCACACAATAAGAGATAAGGAGCAGTGGAGAAAGTGACAGAATGGTATTCCAAGAATTCGAAAAGAAAAAGAGGAAAACCTACTACTCTCTTGCAAGCTTAGCGAGGCACAAATCTAAATGTTCTCGATACGAATAAAGGTCGTTTTATTATATTTTATTTATTGGGTAGAAGAAAAATGTATACCTATCTACCTACTTAAATTATTTTAATTATTAAAACCATTTAACAGTAATTGGAAAAATGAATGTGGATTATCGCTTTAAAGTTTAAAGTATAATACGGAACGCTCCGGCTCTTAACCTACAAACTGGCTTCACGACGCGATGTGAATCAGTTCTCTCTCCCATTACACAAAAGTTAATACTCGAAAGAATTAATGTTTAACTATTTTCCTTTGTATGAGTGCTGATTTGTTCAGCGATAACGGGGATTACGCGGCTAAGTAAGGCTTAAGTGCTTTATAATGAATTCGCTATCAACGCAAACTATTAGGTGCTTTACGATGTAGCCGTTTGTTTCGTTACGAATATGTTTATACGGTTTAACGTTTAATGAAAGCATTTATCGTGACTTCGGGTAGCCCGCCATATTTTATCACGAAACTTTTCCGTTTTGTGAGAGCAAATGTACCTCTAACATAGGCATTATGTCGATTAAAAATATTGTTTATTTGGCTAGGCGAAGGAAAAATAAGCATATATACCCAGTATGACACATACTTATTTCTTATACTCAAGAGCACACTTTAACCTTTCTTTGAGTTTCTTTATTATATAGAACTAATTTTCCATTTATTCTGTCAAGCCAGACCTAGAAAACGTTAGAATAATATGAATAACGACGTATTTGGCTGCGTTCAAAATGGCGTCCCCTCGATGTGACACATAATTACGTTTAACAATGAAGTTGACATAATAATGTAGCGATACGGTCGCCGCGGGGTGCATCCGCTCCAAATATGGCCGAATTGTTACTTACATAAAAAACGGCACGGAAAGTAGTAGATACATAAGTAGGGAACCTCTGTTTATTAAATTAATAACATTTGCAAAATGATAAAATTAATAAATCGTAATCTACGAGTTAAAAAGTCGTGTGCCTGTAGTGGCATTTAATAATATTGTTATGTACTTATTTATTCAGATGGTACGAGTGTCGTATAGAATAACTAGTAAATCGTATGTACGTTAAACCGTCAACAAAGCGACAAATTAACCGGTGTTAAAGGATACAACATACAAATCAATTGCAGCTAAATGTAACGAGTTAATTTATTTAGTTAGTAACGCGAGTCCTGCGTCTCGGGTTTCAGGCGGTGGCTGACGGGTTAATGTAGTTATTCCGACCAATTAAGCATTGACGGGCAGTCGGCGATTACTTGCGTCGCTCGAGTTTTTCTGCTCATGCTTGCTCATACGAAGTTGGTTTAGTAATTTAGCCATCTTCTCCGTCTAAGTCACATAAGGTGTAGACGTTGTTTGCTGAGTTGTAAATCTATATATTTAAAAAATGTTTGTTTGAACGCGCTAGTCTCAGAAACTACTGGTTCGTATGAAAAATATATTTTTTCGGTAGTTAGAGCATTTATTAAGGCTCAGGCTTTAAAATATCACGCTGCGATCAATTAACAATGGAGATGTGGAAAAATGAGAAATTTGTTCTTTGAGGGTCGCCGTTGCGTGCGCTTCGAAAACAGTTCAAGATACCTAAACAATATGTATGGAAAAATGTCAGCGACATCGTGGGTAACACCTATCAGCTATAATTTATAAAGATGAGAGGTTTACAAAAACAATTTTGATGCCTAAAATAATTATTCTAAGCATAAGAACTGTAGGGTTTTATAGATGCGATTGACTTGCGCTAAAAATCCTCAGCCGAGCCTGGCCTTTCTGGTCTAGCTGTCAGCGCTTGCGCAATGTCTTCTAGGAGTTTCATTTTTGAATCTTTTTTATCAACAACAATCGAATATCCCTGCGAGGGATTAACGCAGAGGCGTCTAATCTGACGGATTAGCGAGAGCACAATGGGCTGTCGATCGTGGAGGCGTCCGGCCGTGGCTGTAATACCCCGCAATCCGCTTAGAGCGATGCGTGAATGTGTCCTTTTGTGGCTCACGGGACGAGCGACAGCGGTGGATTATGCTTCGATATATGTACCTACGTTAAACAATCTCACTTACAGCGAATTGATTGTTCTGCGGCAAAACAACAATATCCAACTTGCTAACACTACGCTAGGATAGTTGAATTTATGATGCAAAATACTACTTCATTATTTAAGTAAAACACTTTAAAGGTTTGAAACGCGATATCAGTTAAACTTATTTAAAAAGTACGGATGTTTGCCGTGGTCACGGGGAGATTAAACATGGAGGGTGTTCCTATCGCCTCTGTTTCGTAGTAGTTGGTATTTATGCCATTGTTAAAGTAATTTTTAAATAAGTGTTATTAATTAGTTAGCAGCATTTTTACTACTTCATTCTGTTTAGTTTATAATTATTTTTTATTAGTTTGGAAAACGCTCAGTTTTATCACTTACACCGAACACATTTGGAGCGTACAATTTTAAGAAGTGTCTCAACTTTCAATAGTAATTTCTAACTAAACGATGCATTGATGTGCTTTGTTTGACATCAGATAATATAGTTTGTGACACGGATCTGTGACCACGTCGTCCCTCGTCTGAATAGGATCACTGCTCTGTGGTCAATTATCGCGTCCAAATAATATAACAGATTTATCTGCCTTCACGTTGCTTCACATCTGTGACGCATTTTTTGGTGAACCGTCACCCTCAGCCGAATACCTGTTTATTTGTACGCGTCGCGGATAAGTAAATATGGGGACGTGACCAATGTTTCAACTCTCAAAGTAATTATAAAAAGTTTACATATTCATTTTCGTGTCCCTCCTCTACATTTAATAATGTAATTAACTTTACACGAGAGTTTTTGCAACACGCCTGCTAAACGGAAGCCGCTAGAATGAGAGTTAACTTTGCTTATTAGAATTAAATTTGGCCTATCTAATTTTTACATTTTGTGTCCTTCATATATAATATTAAATCGATATTTAAGCTACGAGCCAACGTCATAAACCTTCGGTTGTAATAAAGACCCTATGTCGTAAATAAGCTTAGAGTAAACATAAACATTATTTCAGTAAACCGATGAGCTTAGTAAAGCTCCCACAAGCGATTAGCCTACCCTCTATCATAATAAATCGACAAAATTTAAACAATCCCCTTCTAGGAATATAGACCTTATGGACTCGTTATTAGTTTGGAAAAGTAGTACTCAAACTTAAGGTTATCCTGAAATAATTAATTAATGAAAGCAGAGCGTGTCTTTTTTCCCTACGCACAGTCAGACTGAGACTTTGTCGAGAAGTTATAACTAATTTCCTTAAGTCCTGTTTTTGACGGTTAGAATTCGTGTCAATATTTATTCTACATATATATCTATAGATGTAGAGTCTTCGATGTCGCGCCAACAATTATGTATTGTACCTATTAGTACAATAGTGAAACCAACCAACACTTCACTAAGTTCCTCTCGTCAAACAAGCGTTTCCTTCTCCTAACATCGCTAAACTAATACACAATAATGTATATCCTTCGATCCATTTGGTCGCAGCCCCACGCTCGTATCTCGTATGAGTGCATTAAATTCACTTTCCGGCGCTCGCTGATTTTTAAATCTGTTTCAATAACATAAACAACAATGCGCGTGTCTCTCTCGCTCGCTTAGCGTTAGAGAAGGACCGACGAACGGGGGTCGCCAAATCCAGCCCGTGATGGACAGTTGACAGCTGACGGGGGTCGCCATTGGGAATAATGTGGTGAAAACGTTAATCCTTTCGGTTAGGGGTAAATGAGAGATTGTTTTAGGAGAATATTTAGTTCAGAACTCAGCTCTCGGGTCCGCGAGGCCGAGCGACCCAGAAATGCGACTATCTCCGAGTTAACCCGTAACCGCAACGCAACAAAGGGTGCTTGTGGCCGCCGCGACGCGCACCATTAGGGACCCGTCGCCGTCCATCAGTCGCTGATTAGTTTATGTGACACACTTTTTACTGTGCGGTTTCCTTTGCGAGTTAAGAGAGGTTTATCATTCCGGGCTGTAGGATGCTTTGGAAAATGGTCATTTTCAAAGTTGTTTCGTCGATGTAATGTATGGAAGCGAAAGAGTTTGAAAACATACGTACATTACATTCTCAATCTTAAATATCGTCTCAGAAATATAAATTCGCGTTCAACGGTTAGATATTAAGAGTCTCAGAATATAAAACGACTTTCAGCAAACGACAGCACTTAAGGCGAACGTTGAATTGAAGTTGTAGGTACGGGCGACGCTTTTTGGTGTCAGAATTTCAAAAGTTGTATAACTCGTTCCTTATCGTTGGACTTATTGGATATTTATTATCACTCAGTAACAAGTAGTTTTCTGAATAATAATAATAATGAGGTCGTGCGCCTTACGTTGTTAGTGAAACGGATATTTATAAGACAAGTTCATCGATAGAAAGTTATCGAAATAGAGATATAATAATTGCGTCTTTATTTATTTGTTTGAGTAATATCGCGCAATAGTGCTCTCTTAGTAATTTAAAAGTTCTCGTAGTCATTGGCATCTGATTTACTATAGGTCGGTATACCGAGTTCGTTTAGTTGGATACTCTTGTCCCAGGCCGAAGCAGTTCCGAGGAGTAAAGTCAAAAGTAGTAAACATTGAAATAATACTTCGACGCGTCTCTCTGCATATTCTCTAGACCGCCTCTTTCGTAAAATGTCGGTTTAAGTATTCTCGTCGAGTCCGTGTCTTCTGCGCGCGAAAAACATGAAATTGCTTTCGCTTAACTGCCGCCGAACAAAGGACGTCTGCTATTGTACGGTGTCGGTGCGCGGTTCAGGGCAAGAGAGATTCGACGGAGGAATTATTTCATGTTCCGCCAGACCCAGATCGGTCTTCTGTCATTTTTAACTATCAACCTACCGAACGAGACGAAGGTATTTATCACAAGTTTATAGAAACCTGTGATTAGTTATTGTACGCATTCAGTGCGGTAAGAAAAACGCGGTTGAGAAAACGAGATCTCCTCGGGCCAGGCGCTCGTGTCTCGCACCGAGCGCACTTGCAGAGGTGATAGCGAAACGCGTAACTGCGGAAGGCTTGCGAAGTGTCCCCGTAGGTGTTCCCTTACAATGGCACATTGCCACTCGACTGTACCATTTGAATATGTGCTGGCGAGCGGTTATTGTAAAACGATCATTGTTGTGTAAATTGTAAATTCGGTACTCGAAGATAGAATGGCCGTCCGAGGTACCTACGTGATATTACGGCGTTTGGGATAACTAAAATGTTTAAAAGATATTTCACTAAGAAATGGGGGTAGGGAATGGGACATAAACTATTTTTCCTGTGAGTAATGAACTTTCGTCTGTAATTCGCCGTATCACAGAACTCTTTGTCAACAGAGGGAGATACAACTTTGATGTCCCGGAATGTCCCGGGGCCATTTGAGTGCATCGCGGTAATTTCACGGGCCATTACGGGACATCCCGCCCGCAGCCGAGTAACTAACCGTGAGCCAAAGGGTTGCTCCGAGGCCGCGGAGCGAGCGACTCTTTTCGCTCCGACGCTGTGCAGCGGTGGGTCTAGAGATAAGAGCGACGACACTAATTACGCTAAGGTCTCCAAAAATTTCAACGACTGTCTCTGATTGTCCAAACAAATGTATTGACACCGGACTAACGACCTTCTCTCTTCGACTTTCGTTCAAATCATTTGATATGAAGCTTTTATTTCGTGGCTCCAAATATCCTCTCTCATGATTTTACTCTCATTTTTGGTATTCTTCTGACGCAGCCGAGCGCCTGAATGCCAATCCGGCCCGGACATTTAGTCCGTTTCTATTCTATTTGTCAATATGTTTATTTAAACATAATTTTGATTAAATCACTGTTAGTTACTTTTACATAGGTACGTCAATCTTCCGCTTTGCCGTTAGAGAATTTGGGTTCTTGCCCCGTGCAATAACATCAGACACAGAGAAACGAAGCTGATATAATGACCTCGTAAAGGAGTGAAGCCACAAAGCCTATTATAATGGCAGATAAAAGCGCGTAGGACACAAATCGCTTAGAGCTAACTCGGATCCACCCGCAGCGATAAGTCGTAAATCCGTTTCAGTCGTAATATTGCGTATTGTTTTCCTGACAAATGTATGCGAACCTAACTCTTGCGTCGATGCGTCAGAGGCGAAATTCGTACGACGCGCCCGAAGACCCGTAATAACATACTACTTAGTTGCGAAACAGTAGCCTCTCCATTTTACTTTCAAATTTGCTTATGGCATATTGTTTGGGCGTTTATTTTGTTAGATTTCAACCCATTCTTCGACGATTTAGTTAAAACAGTATTTTGTATGAACTTTGAAAGTACTGAAGTAGTGATTCACAGAAATCGTTTACATTTAAAATTGGTATATGTGGTTTGGTGATATTTGTTTATAATTTGAAGAAGTACGAGTACCTAGCACCCGACTAACCCTTATTCGTAATAATTTATCCTATAATTCGGAAAGACCTTTAACTAACAATTACACATTGCTTAATGTTTTTTACAAAATTTCTATTTGTATTAGGTACTAATGTTATATTCGTTTGTGATAACGATAAAGGCTTTCGCTATCTTCAAAAGAAGTCGTACAATATTCCTTAACCGAGATGCCTATAAACTTAAAAGTTTTACCATCAATGACTTATTATTAAACACAAATTCGATTGATAATTCTAAATGAGAAGAAAATGTTTGTTGAATTCTATTCCAAGTAAAGAAAACGTCCACAATAAAGGATAACACCTTACGTAAAATGACGTCGTCCAAATTACTGTTCTTTCACGACCGAACCATTACCGTAGCATTCGTTCATTGTGTTCGACGAGCGAAGTGGGGTCATAAATCACAAGGATCTAACAGACCACACCTCCGAGATCTCACAATATGATCCAAACAATGCCACCCCGCTATCGATTCACCCCCCTCGGAAGGCTTCGAGACGGCCGAGATCTGGTTCATGCTTTGGGATGCTTATGTATCGGAAGAAACAAAAATGAAATCAAAGAGTATATTTTTAGCTATAACGTGAGAGAAACGTCGATACTTGATACAGATCTGTCCCCCGACTACCTAGACTGGCGTAGGTATCTTGAACTATGTGCTCCTACCGTTTACACACAATTAGCATTTTTCCCCCTCTGATGAGTGCACTCGGCAAATCAGCTTAAAGGCTTTCGGGCTAATTCACTGTTTATCTAAGAACATGCGGAGCGGGAAATAAAAGTTGTTAGACATAACGTTGTAAGTATTAGGTACATAAGATGTGACAGATTTCACTACACAATATAGTTCTAAGATATGCTTTACATTTTATGGCGATGGAACTGTAGATTGATCATGTTCAATTAGGCTTTAGACCGATAGAATTCACTTATCATATGTATTCGGTGAATCTAACCTTTGTCAGGAAACATCTGCTGCTGACCACCCCATCCCCATGTCTGTTGCGCTACAAATGTCTGCGTTTGTATTTGTGCTAAACGTAACGCTAAATATTTTCGTGAAGTTAATTTTATTTTAAATCTGTCTACTTATATCGCAGCTTCGTATCTGCATTTGATAATGTCTAGTTTGAGCAAATTATAATAAATATTCAAGCGGTAGGTAAAACCATGTCAATAGGTAATTATTGGAACAAATGAATTGATTTGTTTCGAAGCAAAGATGCGCATAGACTAGCTTGCAAACATAGAGTAGGTAAATAAGTCAGTAGTAGACCTCCGTAATAATAGTTACCTGAGTATATTGGACTCGTCCGCTTTTCGTTCCAACAATAATGTTCGAGTTAATAAAAATCCATTTGAACAAAATACATGTAATCCGTGCGCGAGTAACCCGATCTCCCCGGGCGACGGCCGCGGGTGTCCCCCATACCCCGGCGTGGGGGCACGGGGGCGCGGGGGCCACCTGTGCATAGAGCCTGGGTGTGGTTTGCCGTTCGATAACTTAATACTCTGGAAAGGCTTTCGCGGTGAAATCTCGCTCCGTGTAGAGCGACGAGATCCGTTTGCGACTCGAAACAGTATGAGAGGTCGCTTCGATTTATTCATATGGTTCGACTTAAATCCATCAAAGTAGTCTTTATTTGATTTAGTTACCGATTCAACTATCAACTAAAGTTTAGGCTAAAATCCTTATTGCCGAATGTCAATAGATAAGGGATATTTATGAGACGGTTTTGTTCACAAGGAGATCGAGCAGATCGAGGGTCGGATGCCTGCAAACGGCGAAGGCGACTCGCGAACGTCGTCGTCGAGTGGCGAAGGCGTAATCCACTCGGATGAGTGTATGGCGGCTATTAATTGCAGGTTTACGGGTAATCTATCGAAGCGAGTCGTCGCGAGCGGGCGCGCCGGCCGGGGGCGGAGGGGGGCGGTGTGCGTGACGGATCATGGCGGCGCGGGGGGGCTCCGTCCCGCCGCCTTCGTTAAACGCGGCCGACGGATACGTAGGACGCCGCGGTTGAAAGCTATACGGCCCCCGGGCGGTCGCGCAGACGATTGGCCCGCGACGGTAACCGATAGCCAATCGCGAGCGAGGCCGGCACGCCCCCCGGGCGCCGACTCGGGGCTCCCGGCTCACACGGCGCGCGACTCGGCGCTCACTCGCACCGATGCGCGGCTCTTGGGACGAGTCCACGACGGCGGCGCTCCACGCGCGCATCCTGGAGGCGCATCGCGGGCCCGCGGCGCCCGAACGCGCCGCCGCCGAACCCGGCTGCACCGAACCGCCGCTCACCGTGTCGGCGCTAGAGCTGGCCGCGCCGACGCCACTGCTGCCGCTGCCGACGTTGTCCTTCAGCGCTGCGCAAGTCGCGACCGTCTGCGAGACGCTGGAGGAGAGCGGAGACGTCGAGCGCCTGGCGCGCTTCCTGTGGTCGCTCCCGGTGGCGCACCCCAACGTCGCCGAGCTGGAGCGCTGCGAGGCCGTGCTCAGGGCCCGCGCGGTCGTCGCCTTCCACGCGGGACGCCACCGAGAGCTCTACTCGATTCTGGAGCGGCACCGGTTTCAGCGCTCGAGTCACGCGAAGCTGCAGGCCCTGTGGCTCGAAGCGCACTACCAGGAGGCGGAACGGCTCCGAGGCCGACCCCTGGGTCCCGTCGACAAATACAGAGTGCGCAAGAAGTTTCCTCTGCCTCGGACCATCTGGGACGGCGAGCAGAAGACTCACTGTTTCAAGGAGAGGACGCGGTCCCTGCTGCGGGAGTGGTATCTGCAGGATCCGTACCCGAACCCCACCAAGAAGAGGGAGCTGGCGGCGGCGACGGGCCTCACGCCGACCCAAGTGGGAAATTGGTTCAAGAACCGGCGGCAGCGGGACCGCGCGGCGGCCGCCAAGAACCGGTCGGCCGTCCTCGGCAGAGGGTTCGCCTCCTCCTCCACGTACGACGAGGACTCGGCCGACTCGGAGATCAACGTCGACGAAGAGTGACGCGACGCACAGTGTGAATACAGTGGTGACAAGTCTCCGTCGGTTGTGAACAGTGACGACGCGGTTAGGACGAGCCCGTGACGTGAACAGTACCGTGGTCGAAGCGTCCGAGTGTTCGCTCGAAGCTGTCGTACGTCAGGTACGTAGCGAGCGGCGCCGCCGGCTCGAAGAGAGTTTATATATACCTGATTTATTTCTTCAAACGCATTTACTCGTGTGCTTATCCAATCGTTTTCTAAAAGATGAGAATCTATTTACCATATCAGATCCTATATTACGCTTTGACCTCCTACGTTTTAATCCATTCCGATACGGAAGACGGCGTCCGTCGATTCCGCTAAACGCAACAGTTTTTAGGTAGGGCAGTAGAGTATTTATTTATTGGTAGGAGATTTCGTAGAAATTGTTCCTTTTTGTAGAGAAATGCTGTGATATGGTGAAATTGTAAATAATAAACGAGCTCGAAAGTAGTTACGCTATCGTAGGCCTATTTCGCAGAAAATGCTGTAGGCGGTGCTGCTCGCGCTACCTTTGAGCCTGTTACAGTATTCACATTAAGTAAATGAACTCGTACATTCCAATAAGACCGATTACAGTATTCCCATTAAAAATGCTCAGGCAAAACGATAATATATGTTTCAGCGACAGCCGTAGGTTGTTTCTTCTCATTTTACAAAAGTGTTTTCAAATAAGACATAACAGAAGCCTATATTATTATTTTTATAAGCAGCCCCGCGAAGGTCTCGTCAAAGCGGAGACAGTAAATACAAATAATGAATTAAAATGAGATCGAACGGAACCGCGTGCGATGCCCACTGAAGTGGCCGAGTGGATAATTGCGAATTCCTTCGCAACGGATAATTCCAAAGATAGGGGTATTCCACACGTGAAGTTATGCCGTGGGCCGACGACGGTTAGTCGCTCGCATCAAATAATTGTAGTGAGGTATCAATGAATGTCGCCGTGGCCATATTAGGTGCTCGCGAGGAACACGCTTTACTTGGATCGACACAAAATAACGACGATCGAAAGCGTCGGAAAGATTACAAAAGAACAAACCCTGACAACCTATCGATGCTCGGACGGGTCCAACTCGAATAGTAAAGCGAACTCCTACGAAGTTTCCAACTAGAATTCCACTTTAAACTGGCTTTCGAATCAAATAAATAATCTCTTTTAAATACTCCATCGATACCTTTTTACATTTCCTTAAAACTGAACACAGATTTTGTGCTCAAAGACAGAGAAATAGCTACTGAACAGCGACACTATGGCTCGCCAGAAAGAACAAATTGATTTTGTTAATGTATAGGGACGTATGTCAGCTTTGAAAACTAAGCGCACAATACTTTCGCGTGTAAATTTTCCTTTTCGCGTACCTACTAACATTAAAGGGCATTAGAGCAATCGTAAGTTATTTTAGATCGGTTTCCATCAGCCCTACGATGCGCGTTCATCGCGTCAAGAGTTCTAATTATCTTTCCCATTTAGGCTCGAATCAATATTAATGAGGCCGCATGCGCAATTAATTTATGACTGGATCATAACGTTTTTAATAAATCGGCGCCACATACAATTAACCCGCTTTTTGTTTGTCTAATTCAACGGTCTGAAACGTCGACTTATACGTGCTCGGCGGCAAAAAGCGCAGCCCCAGCGCGGTTCCCGTCGGGCGCCGTGCATCGAACGACTGAGGGCTGTGCAGGCCAGTTGCGGCGAGGAGGTTCACCTTCCGCTCTAGAGCTCGAACGGCACCGATCACAGCATTTCTTTAATCACTATCGAATTTATTACGTAGTAACTTCTCGATAAGTCGATTATCTAGTATTGTTTATTTCCGCGAAACTATGTGATAATCTAACCGACTCTCGGTGTGACTTTAATTCTGGGAGGGAAAGTTTATGTTAATTTCCCGATGACACAGGAGAATGTTTATTTGCTCATGTGTACTCATACCACACCCTTTTTGTCTCGAATTTGTGTATACGCGGAATATTTAAACGAGTTTCTTAAAATTATTAAATGTGAATTTTTGTCGGCGAAAATAGAGTGTAAATTTTGTTCATATCCGCGCTGTACATGATGTGTAAAGAGAGGCGAAAATACGATTTACCTTAATTCTTTGTGATAAATAGCGGAAATCCCACGCAAAATGGAGTTGTATTATATAAACGAAACGGTTTACAATATTTGAATTGAAATTGTGCATTATAGGTATTTGAATATATTTAGCGTTAAGCATAGTCTATAGCGACGGGCCGAGGAGAGATTGTAAAAATGTATTATATAAAATATCGAATTGTAAATATAATCGACTTCAGTACAGTCATTAAAATAACGATTGTTAATAAAATTATATTCGTAAATATATTTCTCGTTTTACTTTGATGCAGATTGCGCCTAGCGGCGGTGAGAATCCTCTGTCTGTGTCGTACACGTCGATACGCAATACCGTGTACGACACTAATTAAAGTACAGCAAACAACAGGTACCGAGCGGCGAGCCAAATGAGCATTGCGTAAAAAAGGCTCTGTTACAGTTTAGTTGACAAATAATCGAAAACCACATACTAAGGATTAATTTACACTTTATTCCTGCCTTTAAATACCGTTACCGTTATATTCTATATAACGTTGATATTCTTGAAACACAGTCTTTAGTTTAAATATGTATTTAAATTCGTAGTTCATTAGTCTTTGAAGTAGCTAAGGCAGAAATGTTAGTATTACTCGCAATTTGCCTACTTAGGTCTCTAGGTGGGGACTAAAATGGCCAAGTATTGAAAAATCAGGTTTTTGAATGAACGCATAAGGAAACTACTATAATGCAACGACACATCGCTGTTTGTCTGTATATCCAGGAGCTTTGAGTTGGCCTTTTAATCGAGAGAGCCATAATTGTTTGTCACTTTAACAGTACGTTCACATTTATCAAAGTAAACGGAGAAGTAAAATTCCCTAAAGCAAATCTAAAAGCGTACATACAAATAACACCTTTGTGTAGGTATAGGTAAGTATCGAGTCTCTAAGAATAGACAAAACCAGGTGACAGTTTGTGTTCATGCCGCTTAGGACTTATTTTTTGCCTGGAATGCCATCGGCGACCGACTCGTGGAATTTCTTTCTTATTTCTTCATTATCTCGCATTTGCATATTCGCTATTCGCCTAGGATCAGTGTTAATTAGAACCGGTTCGTTAAAATATTTAACTGGGCTTACCTTAGTTAACAAGTGACGTAACATATGAAAGTATGGATAGTCCCGGTCGTGCTTCTTCTAATTGATCAATTGGCTTTTAGTAGAGAGGATGGTTAAGCATATGCTATACAAGTGACCTCGTGGTTGTCAGTCCTTCTTAGTTCTAAAATAGAGGAAAATGTATACCTCAACTAGAACCTTGTGACCAACATTACTTATAAGTCTGATCTGATCCAAGTCTGGCACGGCTCTATTGTTAAGCGATTATTAGTTAAGTTTAAGCCAGAAGGGTTCGGTCAAAATTGTATCTTTTTCGTTCATTTAGTAGTAATTATTGCTAAGTCAGCACGTCAATGATACTATCATTTCTATTTATAGCTACCCACTCGTGAATTGTTGTGTAAACTGTGTTTAAATTTTGTTTAATTTAAGCAGATTCTCGAATTGGATCATCTATTAGAGTTAAAGGTTATACCTATAATATCTGAGCTTTGTTACTAAATTTTTCTAATAGACTAATCCCGAAAAATAAATGAGATGAGAATTCGTATAATCTAGGTACTTACTTATACCTTATTTGAAGAATAAATAAATATTATTTGTTACCTAACTTTGCTATCCTATGTTTTTCGCATTGTACGGACCAAAGTGGCGAAAAGTATTGGAGCTATTCCAATATATTATGAATATCTTTACCTACTAAAGATAAGAGAAAGATTAGAAAAGGAGGATGAAAAAACGCCTTCCTCAACATCGGCCAAACTTGTACAACTCAAAGAAGTAGTCAAATTTCATTTTCGGGATATGCAGAAATATACGTGAAATCAAAATAATTACGACATGAAAACTCCCCGTAATGTCTCGACACGTATCTTAGGCCTATTCGCGGCCATTCGAAGAGGTCCCGTCGCGCGCTGTCACGCAGTTTGACAGCTCGGTAACTTTTTTATTCCTCTCTTTGCTTTGCGTGCTCGGGCATGTTTCTATTCAGCCAGCTTTTTCTTTTTATTGGTTGTCAACATTTAGTGAAGCCTTATGATATTGCGCTTGGGTCGAGAAGCTTTCAGGTCGAGACGATTAAGGTAGTGGGCGCCAGCGAACGCTGTGCCCGGCGTCGACGAACACGAGGGTGTAATTGTGTTGAGGTTGTATAGATTAAATTGTTAAATGGATCATTCTTATGTATTACGATATAATTATCTGTTTACCTCATTCGTGCAATCGTCCCTAAGCCCTTAGGTACTGCCGCCGTGGTTAATAATTAGTTTCGCTCGAGGCGTGGTTATGATTCATCGGTGTCACTCCGGCCATCCATCAAACGCACACGCAAAAATGTTATCTATTTTTTACCGAAATTACGCTGACATCTCATAATCACTGGGGTATTTTATTATTTCATGGTAGTTTTTGCCTTGCCACCGAATCGCTTTTTTAAGAAGATAAACGGGTAGGTACCTGTCCTGCAGAGCGAGGTCGAACTGTGGCTAATAGGAACGAAAAAACAGTGGAAAATTTGGAACAAATGGAGAAAACTATTTATCTTTAAGAGTTTTCATCGCGTACGGTGCGAAAGCGATTCAAGATACCCAAAAATATGAACGAAGGAATGATTCCTCTTTAAATTATCAAAAAAAGGTCCACTTCAATATATCTCTATCTTTTAAGGCTCACTTGCAAGAAGGACGGGACGCGGGCGACGTCGTGGGTAACGCCTAATGGTTATAATTTATACAGATGAAGAGGAGGTTTTATGCTTCGCAGACGAAGTCGCTAGCACAGCTAGAATGCTGTTAATGCTCGCGTGTATATCAGGGCACCCGTCTTTACAGTCACGACAAACCGCATTGTGTGTGAGCTATGAGCCACACGGCCAATTTACAGTAATCGGAGCACAGTAGGATTTCAATTAGGCATTATATTTGTCAAAGGCGCGACACCGACGCGTTGTCTATTTTCACAAGTTTTCAGATTTCCCGAGGGAGAGCGTCGGTGCAGTCGGCGTCTCGTTACAAACGGTCGGAAGTAGGCAGAAGGGTCGCCGAAGAGGACACCGTAATAGCTACTAATTAGCCGACGTTTATTTAAGGGTTTTCCAAACAATTGATAGTGAAATACGCGGGGCGTCAGTAGTGATAATATTGACTTTTAAATTGTGACCAGTGATACAATTTTCCATGACACAATTGCGAATAATAATTAGCACTCTAATAACGAAAAAGCCGAGACCGTTTCGAGTGAGCTCGACGGAGTAAAAAGTAATTTGTGAGGGTCCGTCTGTCTGCGGAGTCCCCAGAAAACTCAATAACCGCCGACCCATCGAGGGAAAGATCGATCTTCGTCGAGTGCAGTCCCTATTCTGCTCAAATCAGTTCACATCGGCCTTGACTACGAGAGACTCGCTGAGTACTTAGTGTCTGTAGGTCGTTTATAAAATCCTTATAACTACATGTTTTCCTTGCTAGTACCTTTTTTTTTTTTTGCGCATATTTTTTTAACATCTGCACAACTTATTGACTTCGCTGTTATATTGATTCAAAGTTTAAAGCCCAGTGGAAGGGACACTTTTTTATGACAAAAGAGAAGAAACAAGCGAGGTGTTCGTTCAAGTCTTAACAAGATGGACTTATTTTGGCTTCGGATTTTCGGAAATCCATAGACTGAAATCGAAACGCGTTTAAACTTCACGGTTTTTTATCTGTAGTGTGGTTCGTAAGCCGGACAGAATTGCGATGGGTATTCCTATTAAACATTTAATTTTATGACTTTCAGACAACGTCTAACAAGTTTCAGAAAAATGATAAATAAGGTTTATATTAATCATTGGACCCAGCGGGGATCGAACCCGTCTATATCACACTCGCCCAGTTGTGACTGCGACGCGGGGCGGTTCCGTGGCCCACAGCCCCACTGCCGTCGGGCACAGGATATTACAGACTTATTGGCAAACTCATACTCTGCTATCGATGTAATATTAAGCTCGAAGTATTTATCGCTCGTCGGTCGTATTAAGTGCGAACAAATTGCGTAAAAAGTGGACATCGCGTTGACCCTCGCTCTAATCGAGCGCGTGCTCGATAAAATTGATGGCTTCGGCGCTTGTTTACGAGAAGAGCTAGAAAAAGCCTGAATTAATTCGACGATCGAGCGGAAATAAGACTATTCTTAACGCAACAATGAAACGTCCTCGATCCGCGCCCGATTTATTAGGTGCGAAATGGTCATTACTTTTGAAATTTATCGATTACTGCCGCAGCCCCGACTGAAATGGGAGGTAATTCGTTATTTATGCGTCAAGCGAACGTCGTAACGTCGGGAGCCGTCCACAGGTCGAATATATTCAGCGCCCTCTGAACACTTTTTGTTATTCAGTCCATATTGAGATGTTATTACGCGGTTGTTACCACCGAGCGGTAACGTAATTAGATAATAACTCGACGAACAAAAAGCGGAGACGACAATCGACGAAGGGAAAACGAAACGGTTATACATTTTAATATTTGCTAATGTGAAGATTAGGGATTGTTTGTTTTTCTACAAGAAATAAAAAGCAAATAATAACACCGTGCTATTTCTTATTTTGTTTCGTTGGCATTTTTGAAGGTACTCGAATGAACATTCGTTCGTCGTAGTTCGCATTACGGCGCTTTGCATTCGAACAGTTTCCCATTCGTGGACGGCAAAAACCTCGACTCGACATGAGACCTTTAAATTATCAGAAACAATGTTTGAATAATGTGTATCGTTTTTATAACACCTATAATGATGCTTTATTGCAAAATTATGCTCGGAAAGGTCGCGAGCGCCCTCGCACTCGACGCGTCGGACGGCGCTGCCCATTCGATCGAGCCTTATAACTTAATACCCGATATTACGATGTCACGACGGGGGCGCCACTTGTAAAATCTATTAGAAAGTTTATTTTTAGTGAGTCGTTTATCGGACACCCGAAAGTCAGTCTAAACTGCTCGACGGTTCGTAATACTCGTCCTCGAATGACGAGGTCTGCAAAGAGGTGACTAAAATCGATGAGTGAGTTAGTGAGAGCGCGCGACTCCTGACGTCTCGTTTCCGGCGAGCGGAAGGTGAGCCGGCGCCGGAAATCCATGAGATTGGACAAAAATTGTCCCCTATTCGTGCCTACATTATTTCGCGCTTTCTTTCCTACTATGGAGTCCGAATTCGAGTTCGAAACGACATTTTTTTAGAGATAACCTTAAAGAAATCAAAGTAAGGTAAAGATTAGAAGCGCCACGTCGGTTCAAGGAGGGCGGTAGATAGTTACAGAATAATTATATCGTTCAATACTCAATTCTCACAACAAAGGACTCGTCTATATCCCGGGAATGAACTGCGCAAGAAGTTGATAACCAAATAAACATCAATTCGTATCCAATACTACAGACTGCAAACGTCGTTTCCAAGTCAGAGGAGGTAGCGGGTTTAAAAATGTATGTCTTAATGTGCGTACCATAATATGTGTTTTATGTGTAAGCATGTGTAAGTATGTGTATAAATCCATGTTATGCTGGAAGTTTGCTTATTTTCGTGTGGCTGATCACCTAATCCAGTAGTTCCAGAGCAATAGTCATATCCTTTCACTTAGCCACGCATCTCTGTAGATATTGAGTTTTATTATCCAAGTTGGCTTTACTCGGCAAATGCGAGCGGAACGAGCGGAAGAAGCTAACTACTAGCGATCGCTACCGCCCGTGAGTTACTCCCCGGCCGCTGTACGTACCGCAAATCGAATCAATATACGGCGAGCGAGTCCCCGAGGATTTCGCTTTTCATCCCCTGTTATTGTTTCAATCTCTCCTCGAATCGAAAAACTTACTTGTACAGGTGTATTATTCTTTTAGAATATCTTTTGTCATATTCTCGATCGGTACACGAAGTGAGGCGAGTAGGTATTACACTTTCGTAGACCTTTGAATTTGTGCTTCCGAGAGGAAAAATATGATATCACAATTCACATTAAACCTCGCAAGCGATTCGTGAGTTGAACGAGGTCTGAACACTTTGGATAAGTATGACGGTTATAAAAAATTGATGCGATTATGTAATCGACGCAAGTTAGTATCAAAATTTAATGAACCACAGGCTACCCTTGAATATGAGGGCTACAGTAGATTTCTTTTCAACAGGTAGACACAAAGGATGGTGTTGCGCACTAATGACTAAACATGAAATAAAATAATATCAAATCACATACACTTTGTGAGGCTTTAAGACAATTTGGTATGCCCTAGTGTTGTCGCTGACTCGGCATTCTACCGCACGCATACTGTCGCGAGTTCATGACTCGCCGGAGCCAGGAGGCCGATAGGATGAAAAGGCCGAGCTATTATTCGGAAGCCCTCGTCTGCTGAAGGCGGTCATTACGTCGTTGAGACGATGAGACAGGCGCCCGCGTCGCCCGAGCCACGTTTTTTATTAACTAAGTACTTAAGATGCCGAGCATTTTTCATGTGTGAAATTGGTTGTTTTGATTCTGTTTAGAAACTATTTTTGGTTAACCACGTCAAAAGAGAACTGCTTATTCCTAAAAGATTATTTTTATCGAAATAGTACAGTGAATCATATTTCTCTGCGTTTGTTTATTTACCTACTTAATAAGTTTTCTGTGTGAGTTTTTGTCAAAAGATTCGTTATGTCTGTTAAATGAAGCTATCCTCTTTGAGTTTCTGGCGGTGTTTGGATTCCTATTTTCCACAACAGAAGACAGTAAAAGATCGTCGCAAAGATATAAAGGCACTTATAACGATGTCGTCGAAAAATTATTCCAAAACGTGTAAATAAAAATAGGCACATAAATTGCAGAGTATATACGAGGCCGCTAGAGGTAGAACTGCAATTTTATGACTTATTTATATGTTCATAGTCTAAAAATATTAATCTACAAGAGCACTGTGACCGAAAATTGTTAACTACTCGTATTTGCACTATCATTTGTGATGTCAATGAGACACAAACAATAGTGCAATTTCATTTTCGTCCAAGTCAATTGCGCCTTTTTATTTTCCTCCGTCTTGAAAATCATGGTTTTTGTTATTAGGCCACTCTGGCTCTAGCAGCGTTATATATTAAAGAAACTTTTCAATTTTAAGAAAACTCCTACTGGAAAATCTATTATTTACGTCAAATGAGTGCTTGTATTCTGTCTCTTCTGCCTATTCCGCCTCGTTTTGTGTCGCCGTGGAGCGCGAGAATCATTAATCACGTTTCTTTTGTGTAAATGCGATTTTTATTGTTCAGCCGTCGGCCGTTTCTGCTAATGAGAGCCGCAAGGTGGCGTCGCGGACCTTTGCATTTAACAGCTATCTTGCTTTATCAGATCTGGGAATATCGATTAAACAAACCGAGTTTTTCTCATAATAGCATAATTAGACGACAAAGTTGGCCATATTACTTGGTAAACTAGAGAGGAGAGCTTAATGAGTTTCCTTATAAGCCCCTTTTTAAACCGATCACTAAAAGCCTAAAGCGTATTGATGTTTTAAGAAACTCGTACGTAATTATATTTGAAACATCGAAGATAATGGTGAGGAAGGATGACGCTGCAACTCGCGTGGCGCCTACCGGCCGCGCCCGGCTCTGGGAATACTGACAGCCATTTTGACAATAATTGTTTATTTGGACGACTCAATTTAGAAGTTAGGCAGCCATTTAGCGTCGGGGCGCTAGGCTGATTCGGATTACCTTAAGCGTCGAAGACTAACACGGAGTAAAAGAGCTTTTTTATTTAGGGTAGGTTTAGATTTTGTTCGTTTGTTTGAGCGCGCGAGCTGCTGGTTTGAAACAATGATTCCTCTTTAGATGATTTTTAAAAATGTCCGCGACCTTATGTATTTTTTAAGATTAACTTGCAAGAACGACAGGACCTGAACGAGGTAGTAGGTAACAGTTCTAATTTATAGAGATTAGGAAGAGATTTGCAAAAACGAACCCCCCCGCCCAAAATAACTATTCTACGCGGACGTAGTCGCCGGCACATCTAGTAAAGTTAGAAGTGATATCTTAAAATACAAAACTAGAGCGTCAAGAAGACATCCTCTGCAAGTAGAAAGATGATAGATGGAATAGGTGTACGACGACGGCTTGGCCACTAAACCCTCGCTGATGCCAACGACAAATGTTTAGAATATATTAATCAAGTCACGAACCAAGTCGCACGAATGGTCGCGTCTCTCTTCGCGTCGCCATTCAGAAATCCAGATAAAGTATTATACGTACGTTATAAAGCACCTACGGCTACCAATATATAGTGCATACCGAGCTTTAAAGTTATTAACTTGTTACATATACTTGTAAAAATATTTGATGAAGGTCTAATAAATTGACACGGGGCGAATCATATCGGCGCGGGCGCACGCTGGGTCCGATTGACGTTCCGTGGCGTGCCAGGGCTTTCAAATTTGATAGTTCAATTTGGTTGAATTGTAGGCGACGTCTATATTATCACTTTTTAATTTTTTTTTAGCTGGAGTGCCCTTTTGAGAACTCGTAAGCAGAAATCCGGCTCCGAAATGGCACAATACATGGTTGCAACTTGCATCAATATTTTCCCGTCCACATTTTAAGATACCTTTTTTACTAGATTTAAATATAGATCGGACCTATCTGTTCTAAATGACTGCAGCAATTAAAGTGTCGCGGGTATAGATAAAGATTTAAATACGGCAAATATCATAACTTGAAAATCAGTCTGTGGAAGCCTCGCTTTCGCCAACCCTAACCGAAAAGATGTTATCAGGGATGTACATCGGAATATTATTCGTGTACTGCGCAAGTTCTGACATTATTCAAGAGTCGTGCTGAGAGGCGCCACAGAGGTCGCTGGCGAAAATTGAGAAAATCTTTCCTTCGAGAGCGCTTCAGGCGAAAGGCTCCGAACACTCTAATCATTTATTATTATTAATTGATCCGTCGAATCGCTTTTTATGAGGCGACGCCTCGGCGTTCATATTTATTCCCGTTAAGCTAGGCGTTAAGTGACATTATTTATGTGGCCGACTGACGTAATCGTCGTAATTTATCGGCGGCTCGGCCTTAAAAACGAGTCCATGCCATATGCAGAACGCGGCATGTGGACGCGGTCGCGATCGTACTCGACCGTTTCAATGCGACGAGCGGCGAATCGGTTAGCGATTTCCTACAGAGACAGATAAATCGGACGGCCCGGGAGCGGTCGAGTACGGACAACTTGACAAAATAGGAACCGCTCTCGCTGCCTTAGAACGACTTTGCGCTCGAGCTAAAAAATCGAGAGGCCGAGCTCGATACTCAGTTCCGGCACTTTTTCCATTCTGAACTTAGTGATTCGCGCTTTGCTAGGCAACCACATAATTGGTTGTTGTCTAGTAAAACTAATTCTTGTGTATTTAAAAACCAGCCGATCTAGCAAAGGTTTGAAAATGTGTGTTACAGCGGCCTACCAACTTAGATATTTTGTTATGATTACGTCCGCTGCGTAGGGTAGATATCTTTTGAAAGGGATAGGTGACTTGAACGATTCAAAAGGTAGTCTTCGTGAATTGAAACACTTCCATATAAAAAAATCTGTTGTAGAACATAGTATTAGTTTCCGCACCGCATACACCTTGTGTCACGTTACTAAAGTTTTCGTAAGGTTCTCTCATCTTCTCTCACAATAAATGTTAGTAGTGTATGTTCCTCAGGAAGTTGTACAAGAACATTTTCACATACACCCGTATAAAAATACGAATGTTCATAATATTACTGTAAAACATCGTTTTAGGTCACTTTTTCGGAATGCTGTCTGTCAGCATGTTTGTATGTTTTGACCCGACGCGTAGGGCCGTCACTACTTACTCGAGGATCGCAATGAAAGACCGGAATAATATCAACGAAGCCGCAAAAAGCGCAACAATGAGTGCGTGCATTCAACATGGTGCGTAATGGATACAATTATTTGTAGTGTTAATTACCTTTTTATTGGGAGCAACGTATCGCGATCGATACGCCCGCTGCCTCTGCGCAAGATAGAGTCATAAAGTGACGTCACACCGGGGTTCATCGCTTTTGCCGTCCCATTGGCGCGCGGAGTTTTTAAGAAGATAACTACGAGTCCCTATCGCGTCGATCCGGAGGTCGATTTGGCCTATTTCATAACAATGATGCCTAACTACACGATCGATCTCTCAAAATGGAAACGTCACGGCCGACGGGTATATCTGTAACACGATCTACGAACATTAAACACACAATATAAACAATGCTATGTTGATTGAAACGTCAGCAAATGACGGCCAGGCTCGATTCAATCGGCCAGGCCAAGTATTAACGCGTAATTACACCGCGCTGCCCAGGGCTCCGGATAAGGGAGCTTTCGAAGAAAACGGTGCGCGCCGAGCGAGGACGAAGGTACAACTGCTCGGTGCAAATGAGAACTTCAAAAATCTACATTAAAAGCGGAGACGTCTTCACGTCGCGGTCAGGTGCCTAATCTGCAAGTCGTATGTTTCAATTACCCTAATATACCTACGCCACCTAACTCCGACATAAACCGCTCTACGAAATGCCCTTCTCGTCCGGCGTCGTTGGGATTTTTTCGATGATGATTCGGTATTTTATCTCTGTGTCTTAATATCGATTTCCATATAGAGTCGTCTCGATAAAAAATTGTTTGTTTTTTGTTTGTCCGTCCAAATTGTTTTGTTTCGATAGTCATGGCGCTGTCAATTTGACGTAGGATTATGAATCTATCTCGGTTCGATCTCGCGTCCGTCTCGTATCACGCAGGACGGAGCGCCGTAACCTCCCGAGGAGATAGTATAATGGTTACGTTATGTGCACACGCTGTTCTCTCTGAGACATATGGTATTGTATTTACTTCCTGAATACCTCTAATTAGACTGAACTGAACTTTCAAAATGAATAACAAAAATGGCTACCCTAATTCAGATCGAATGTCTTAATCGATTTTTAATCTGTATTTGCGATTGTTTACGATTTCGTCGTTAACGAGAACGGTGGGTTTTTGCACTCGCCTTATCGAAAAACGTATCAAGCGGCACCTGACACGTCTAATAAAAACGGCGGCCGTTATGAATTATAATTGAACTAAGTAGTCCGCGATGCTTTTCTTGCACTCCGGTACTAATGAAAGGTAATCTTTATTATAAGCAACGGCTGACTGCTAGGCTTATGAACTTAAATTACATACTCAATGTTAATTATACCCTCGATAAAAACTACGCGACTGAGGTGAAGAATAAGCAACGGCGAGACTGTTCGATACGATTATTTATTAGATATATTTAGTATGGTAAATGTTTAGATATTAGAGGTAAACCGTCACAACTTCGATATCACAATATTATTATTACTAACCTACTTAATTATCATTCTTCGACAAAAAATGCCTTTTTCAATTTCGACGAGCACATGTCGATGACTGGCATTCCGTCGAGTGGTCGATGTCATTATAACATTAAACTCTGCAGCCTTTCACGTGTATTTTCCATTTTTAACTTAAATGTAAAGAAGGAAACATCTGTAATCTTAAGTAAATTTTGCTGGTGAATACCTATTCGATCAGACGTCTGAAAAAAAGCTCTCGCAGTAACATGACACGATGAATAGACACTCGAAGTGCTCATGAGTTTGTGGCAAAATATATTAAATATTGACAAAGATACAAAACGCTACTCGTTATACCCTCAACCCTTTGGAGGACCTCTTCAAATATAAAGAAGATACACACCGTTGGCGTTCATTCGCTTTTTGATACACAATGCGTCTGTTTGCGTGGGAGAATTGAGTCTTTTTAATTGGTGTACAATTATGTCTATTGACTATAGCGAAGGTTTTTCCTCCGCGATACGAACGATACGAACGTCCAAACTGTGAAGTTAGCACCTAATATTGTCAAAAAGGTCCTCGTCTGCATAACAGTCGAGATGAGAAGGTACAAAATACCTCCCCGAAAGCCTCTTAAAGAGCATTTCGCATCCGTAAAGCTCAGAATGCGATGTCGTATCTTTGATTGTCGTATTTGGCATGTTTATTTAAAAAGTGCTCAATTTCCAGGCTCCGCCGGCCCCAGCGAAGTCGCTCAAGCCGCGCGTTAATAATGCACACAGACAAAACGCACCGCGCCGTACTTCGCTACCCGCTTTGTGCCGATCGGGCGCGGTGCGTCTTCTAGCGATATAAAGCTACAGTGAGTTGACGTCGGACTGAGCAAACGTACGTACTTGTTCTACCGGCGTTGACAAAGATCGACTAATGAAAATGTACTGATTTAGTTCAGTATTCATGACATACGTTTGAGGAAAATTGGAATTAAATTTATCCCGTATAAAAACTATTATGACAGCAAAAAGGACTTACAATATTGTATTAACTTAATTAAATATAAGGGTGATCGAAATTAATGAAACACTTTCAGTTAAAAGAACAGTACATTTAAAGTCTCGGTCATTACGAGGTATTTTATCGTCGTAACTATATGTTATCAGGCAACGGTTTTTATTGGATGAAAACGCTAGAAGTAGCGACCCGAAGAACTCAACGGCGGGGATTGAAACATCAGCTCTTGATATTTCACGCGATTTTAATCCGCAATAGGATCGAGTTTCCCTCCATTCAAGCGGGTGCCGCTTTTTTCGTATCTCTCAAATTTTCTTCAATCATACGTTAGCTTTATTTATTTAACATTTTGCATGGTTTAAAACACGACATCTATTAGTTAAGAAGTCTTCTCGTGACCACGGCCGCTGCAAAGTATCCGACATCGTTCAAAGTGTTTTATTTAAATGTAGTACCTACTAGCGTAAACAACATAGAGAACTTAAATAGTTTCAGAGTTTTTCCTTTGATTACTACCATCAACGTCACCTTTTCATTGATACATAATCGGTCGACCAAGTTCACTTTCAGTGTAATCAGAAAGGGGCTTAAATAATGCTCCGGCCACCTTATTTGTCTAATCGTCGCGGCCCATTTGAACGCGACGAGGCGTACGACACAAATTAAAATAGATGACACCCCCAGTGAAAGTGTTGTCACTTTAAAAATTTAAACGCAATCATCGGTGGGGAGATGCGGCCATTAGGGCCGAGCAGCAATCTGTCAGCATCAACATTGGTGTTTGTGTTTGATTATATTAACTACGTGGGTATTTGGGGATTTTAATTTCAACCTATTTCTTTCCCCATACAATCGTACTTCTTTATGACAACAGTCACATCCAATTATAGACTCTGGACTTTGTTATTCTACGTTCGGTCGTAAAGTGCCTACTTAAAATAATCAATTGTTGTCCCTCGGTCGTTCCTCAAATGGGATTGCCCCGAACCTCGGCGGAGCGCCGATTGACGGTAATCGTTTGGTTGCGCCCAATATGCTAAGACTCCACTCGACTCGAGCGCGTTATAATTGTACACGTGAGTGTCACAGCTTCGGTGGTGGCTCTGTGAGACTTCGAGTTTGATAGCTTTGTCAATTCCAAAACGAAGTTAAAACGACATCGGAGTTGCGTGTTTTTAAAGGTAGGTACTTTCAGGGTGCAGGATACAATATTATGTGGTGCATCGTGCGATCCGGTGGTCGAGTATAGTTAACGGATCATTAGGCCCGGAGCGGCCAGGGTAATGCGATCCACCGCGGCGGGATCGGGATACGCGATTTGTGTTTTTTTTTTGCTGTAGGTGTTCTCTTACTGCACTCTCGGTCGAATCGTTATCTTTACGTTCCGTGAAATGAACAAATAATATCTGCGATCTTATTAAGTTGTTGTGCGATAATTTGAGCGAGCATTTAGACGTTAGAATGTCGGCTCCTGTGAGAGATAAGTGTGAAATTCCGCCGAAGAGCCGCTACTGGACTAATTAAGCGGAGCAGCGCGACGTTCTTAATCGCCGACATCTCCGTTCCGATAGGGCAGACGACTCCAGTTACTTATAAATATTGGCCAGAACACTTCATTGAGGCCATAATGCCTCGCAGCGAATGTTAAAGTATCATGTGTCGCTATTATCTGCGTTCGCGGTTGGCTGCTTCTGGCCACCACGCACCTGGTGGATCTCGCAGGTTTACGGGCCACCGGAACAGATGTCGACCCAGTGAGCGACCTTCGACGTGAAAGCACCTACATAGGACTATTTGCTACCGTAATGCAAAGTTTGACGACGGCAAAAAATTTCACAGAAAACTTTGATTCTATCTTCTACCAAAATTTCCGTCGAACCGCTTCCCACAGTGCGTTACGGCGGTGCAGCGGAGCAGCAGTGGAATAAAATAACTTCGAAAGGCCATTAATTCGAAGCGCTATAATCCCGATTCCTCCGGAGTCGTATAATCGCCGCTTGTCACACTTTTTGTGTGAACTAACTGTGCTCTCGCAGTAATTGAAGGCAAAAATGTTAACGAGCTCTTTGAGCGGCCGACGCGACGCGATACTCTGAAAAAAGCATCGACTCCGAGTGTGAGTTTGAACGGCGTCTCGGCGAGCGAAGCGGACGACGTCTAGTAGGCCGCGCGGTCACAAGATATGTCGGCGATATTGTCGACTGTCGACGGAGCGTAAAGCCTAATATAATAATTGCGGTAACCGATACGTCCGTTCACGGTAGAGCTGGCTACAATGAGACGAGTTCGGTATCGCTATTGCAAAAAGATTGCCTAATGAGGTGAGAAATTGGGGTGTAGGAAATTCGCCCGCTATTACGTTGCGCGCTGCGAGTTGAGTCGTGGCGGGCGGCGGCTCCCCACAACCCTAAAACCCGATCAAATCGTGCTCGAATCTTTACGAAACTCGCGAGATCAGTAAGTTAATGAGAAGAGCGCGAGTTCAAGATGACAAAAGACAAACTCGAACCGAGTGGAAGCTGTAGCACATAAATAACTTGTTTTACCGCGAATCGGCCGCCGCTGCTGCATCGGTAACGCGACACCGTATTAAGCGAACTCCTATTCGGTCACTTTGAAGTGAAGACTTGCGGCGGGCATTGTGCAAAGATGACTTGTAATTAGACGAATAGGAAACTATCAACTATGCATATATCTTTCCATTTAATTCCTCCTATCCTCTAATCCTTCCTGACTCCGCTAGAATAGTTATTTTGGGCATCGAGTTTGTTTTTGCATACAACTCTTATAAATTTCAGCTTTTACCCACGACTTCATCGCGACCGGTCGTTCGTGTAAGTTAATCTTAAAAGATAGACATATAGCGTCGCGGCCTTTTTTAGATCATTTAAGGAGAAATCTTTCTTTAATACAAATTGTTTGGGTATCTTGAACGGTTTTCGAAGCGTACGCATCGGAAACCCACAAAATGAATCATTTTTCCTCGTTGCTTTTGCCCCTAGTAACGCGATATTTCATATATAGCCTTTCTTGATGAATGCTTTAACTAACACAAAAATATTTTTTCAATTCGAACCAGTAGTTCCTGAGATTAACGCGTTCAAACAAACAAACAAACTTTTCAACTTAACATATTATTATAAAGAAGTACGGATTAGAGAAGCATGTAAGCGGGCATATTTATAAGTTAATGAGAAGTGCATGTGTCCATAATCACCGAAATCAAACAAGTACCTGCCTATTGAGTCCGTGAGTTACATAAATAATAATTGGCAAATGTGCCAGGTGGTCGTTTAGTCTCGTGTGCGTTCAGTTCGAAAGTACATATTAAGTTTCTGTGAAGACACCCTCGGCCAGGTGATACTCATAAACATTACAACCGAAGGTAGAGACTCTCAGAGTTCTTCCTGATCTTCATCAGCTTTGCTCGTGGAATGTTGTCCAGAGTTTGCGATTGCCTATATGCACTGTAGGTAGGTGTCACCTATCACGGCGTTTATTGTTGTTTTATTTATATTATCCATTGCCTGTGCAATTATTTAAAAATACACACGTTATTAAATTATCGTACGTGCGACATTTCGTAGTAGTTAGTAGTAGAGTAGTACATATCCTGTTTGAATGCCATTGTTCTTTAGTAAGGAGGAACCGGCGTTAACTTCTTTGCAACCTATAAATTAATTATACATAACGACTTCATTATTCTTCGTCCGTTGGCCAATGTGTGAAGCGCCGTAGTGAAACTGTCCTTATTATAAAATGCAGACAGTATTAAATGTTGCACTAGCGGAGCAGCTGCAGGCCTGAACAATTAGGGCTAAATACAATTAGTAGTCTAGCAATAACGAGAAAGCTTTTTCTGAATCGCACAACCCACCACCCGACCTAGGCGAACGGCCTTAAAAAGAAATATTGAAATGTAGATGTGTAGTGTAGTAACACTGCCACTTAAGTATAACCAACTCACTTCATACTTGCAACACCTTTACAGAGTTTTAGTCTTTTTTAGATTTAATTAGATTATTTTATAAAATTAAAACATGACTAGCTGATACTAAATGTGTCCCTGCATTTAATTGTAATTAATTGATTGTAGAAGGATTAATGCTGTATCGCATGAAATTACTTAACGAAGTGATTATTAATAAACAATTTTTTTTCCAAGAACTAAGTATATGAAATAAAAAAATGTGGGAAATGCTTAAAATATAATATATATAATATGTTATCTTGTCTAGGAGTTTTTTAAATTGTGTAAGGCTTTCGCGGCCATCGTTCACCATATCGCTGTCTTTCGGGCTATTCGGCCGATGTGAGCGAGAAGAGGTTATCGACGTTTCGCCATCACGTGTGGACGGCATCATCGGGAGATGTTAACTCCTCGATTGCTCGAAGAATTATGATATTAAAAATAAACAGCCCAAAAGACAATGATATGCTAGGACTTTTTTTGTTGTTATTTTTAGTGTGTACAATATTTATTTATATATTCTTTATTGCACAAAACATATTAATATTCCAAATTAAATTTATATACTAGAATGGAGAGCAATGGGCGGCCTTATCGCTAACAAGCGATCTCTTCCAGGCAACCTAAAGTTATGAAATGTTAAGAAAATGAGATGTGCAAGGTAGGCGAAACAATTAACAAATTAATACAAACAATAAATAATCATAAACAAAAAAGAAACACTTAAAATAAAAACATACCGATCTAAAAGAGGTTACATGTTTACTAACTTAAACGAAGGGACTAAATATATTTAAAATAAATAGATAGTGAATTACTGTAGTGCCATTATTTTGGCAGTCTCGTGGAGGTCAGATAGCGCTTGCAATGTGCCAAACAACGCTAACATTGACTTGAAGATTCAAAGGGAACACGGCGCTTCCAATGTCATAATAACTAAGACGTCTTTAACGTGACCTCTATTCAAAGTAAGACAATATATGTGCCTCGTCGATTATACCAGGTCAATAGGTTCCAATTCGGGAGCCGGTATTGTATTTCGCGGCGGCGATCGGCGCCGCCAGATCAAAGGATATTCGGAACTATCTACGAACCTCAGAGATGCGAAAGAACGCGCCAGAAAGTAGGTACGGTAAACGATGTCCTCTAGATTACGGTCCAAAACGTGCAAAGCGATTGAGGTAAGACTAATGGGTTCTAAATGTCTCGTGAGAACGCGAGCTCAGCATATGAGGCAAATTAGCGGTCACAGTGACGCTACGGAAACAGCCAGTCGGTACGGAGCCCACATTAAAATAAAATAACATTAATCCCGCGAGAGTAAGACCAGGAAGTCGACTTAAAGAGTCACATTTTATATAGTATTAATGCAAACTGGCCATAAAGAGCCCAAAACACGAGGGTACTCGTAGACCGGAACCGAGAGACAAACGTAGCCTGGCCATTCTTTAAATTCCTGTATGAAATTAGTCAGGATGCCGGCTCTGATTGTTACCTGATAATCATCATCAGCGCTTCTTTGCTGTGACGAATCCTTTCAACGACCTAAACGTTTTTCCCAAACTTGTCATTAGCTTCGTGGTTGGTACGCGCCGCAGGATCGAGCGATTTCTTGAGAGGTAACGTAAAAGCTCGCATTTCTAATTTATTTTGTATAATTTGGTAGACCCTTATAAAATTAGAAACTGGGATTTTCATTAGTATTGAAAAAACAAATTGAAGGGCGTCAAGGGCCTCACTGTACCTCGTGTATTGTCTTTCTATTCTGAGTTTTCTGAGTCCAGCAGTTAAAAGAGATCTTAATGATACGACCATAGTCGCAGCTATTTATTTTCGCCGCTTCTTCTCACCGCTTCTGCCTTAAACAATCCTTTGCGAGCCGCATAACGAGAGTGTGAAATCAAGATCCTTACATTCCTCGGTCCGAACAGACGAGACAAACGACCGACAGTAATTATTATAGATGATATCTTCGGCTCTGATTGATGTCCGACTGCGAACAGCTGATAATGCCGATTTATTCGTTCCGCGCGACTCTAATAAGCTCGATTCGTTGTATCCCAATTCAACTTCTCCCGGAACAAATTATTTTGAGAATTTCGTACGAAACCTGTTAAAGCTATATCCAGAGTCTAAATTGAAATGGTATGTTTTCGCTTTCTCTTAGAAAGCACGGTAACGTCAATCCGAACCCTTAATTAAGCCTCCACGCTGGTGCGACGCCGAGTATTATTGATGTCCAGAACCACCCCTGGGCAAATTAAACTCGCTACTCGCAGGTGTCAAAAGCTTTACCGATGCGGAGCAAAAAAGCTCATCAGACATAAAACGTGCACGGAAGGCCCGGCTCAAAGACTATGAAGAAGATGTAGCAGTTTCTGTTGCTGCCACCGGGCGAGAGCTACGAACTTTATACTAAAACGATGAAAAAATAACTATTGTGACGCATAGTCAATAATGGTCAATGACCAATCGCATACACATCTTACGAGTGGTATCGCTTAAAGTATAGTATGTAGTACAAATTCTAAATTTATGAGTGACAGGAAAAATTGTTCTTATTTATGATCGCAACTATTTAGAGGACTACTCTATCGGATGGAGGACACTGTATCTTATAATACAAAGTGTTTGCCGTTTGCCCGCGACTCGTCAACGCACGTTTTTATTATTATGACAATATTAAATCCGGGGGCGGGCTGCGTCGGTCCAGATGATTTATCGGCGGCTCTTTGGGCTGGATACCGTCCGACGTTTGGCGTCACATTGAGCTGTAAGAGGTTCCAACGAGAAGAAATATTGAGATAGCTGTCATTTCGACCGTTTTAGTTTAATTAATAGAAATATTTTGCGCCTCCCTCTGTAGATTTTATATCAAAGCGATCGCACCGAAAAATTAGCACCACGTGTGTACTCCGTTAAACTCGAATAAACTTTCAAACGCGATAATTAAAATGTCAAGTTCAGAAGCAGGAGCGAGACATTTTAAGCGTCTCCTCTCGGGCTGGTTTATGGCAAATGGACCATTGTGAGGTATCGTTCGCCAACAAATGGACAAAGTCAATTCGCCGCCGCTCGGCTGCGGACCATTTGTTAACATAATTATCGCTAATTTTCGTAGAGGCCCTTCGCGGTGGAAGCTCGTAACGATCAAGAAAGACGGAACTCATTTTGAGAATTTTCGATTCCTTGACATTCTCGTGTGGTAAGAGACTTTTGCGAAAACTGTCGTAGCTTATAAACTTTTGACTTGAACTAATTCGCACTTCAATCCTCTGCGAGGAAATAAATGTGATATAATTTAGTCTCGGCGGTGATGATAGTCGAACAAATGATTACTCGCCCAATTAGTAAGAAAAACAGCAGGCGATAATCCTCTAAACAATAAACAATGCTGCACAGCAACAAATAACACGATAGACCTATTAATCGCGCACCGCATCGAGCCAATACCGACTTTAAGGCATCGACATAGAGGTGAAAATCCGTCACTCTCCTCGTGGTTTGCGTCGTATTTTTCATTTAGATCGACCAGTAGGAAGCTTATTACTACAATGGGTTTGTGTGAAAGAAAATGTGTGGCCGACAATGGTTGATAGAGGCCGACCGAATGATTGACCGATGAATGAAACGTTATAAATGTTATTGTGATCGGTTAATGTTATCGTGGAGAAGGAGGCGATCAATTATCGGGGAGGAAAATACCTCTGACGTTAGGCCGTCCCGTTTCTCCGTTTCATCTGTGAACTAAAGTACTTGTCTGAAAATCGGTGACGTTGATAATTCTCAAATAATGGTCGAAACACACAAGAACATCAGGTTTCCTCGAGGTCTTAAATTTCGCGTTTAATCGCACATTAGCTGGCCGTATTCCCGTATCGTGTTACAATCGTTAACAAAACCGTTCGTTCTCGGAGAATGCGCGAATGAGGAGCCATTCATCGGAGACAAAAAGCCAGGAGACGGATAAATAAAATAATTAGTATGCGTGTTGAATTGTTTAGCGTTACACCCAATAATTGATATTTGAATGAGATCTTTTTGGTTTTATTTCAAGTTCTTGGCGAGGTACTTTTTGAATGGTGCGCACAGGATGCGTTAAGCGCTGCTTCTCTCATTAATGCCGCCGTTCGTTTACTTACAACCAGGACTGAGCCAGCTCCTTCGAAACCTAAGAGATATTTTAAAACCATCGTTTCATAACGTCAAGGGCCAATTGTATACCTAATAAGAAAGACAGAATCTTCCGAAAGACGCAGCTCTACTCATTAGTTAAAATTGACGAGCAAAGGCGTAGTCGTCAAAAGGGACACCCTCTATAAGCCGCGTGATATTAATCCATTGGAAATGGTCAAAAGCGCTGAGCTCATTGTTGTGACGAGTTAATTGAAATTTGAAAAGTATTTAGCGCTAACAAGAGCGACGATCCGGTGTCACTCTTTCAATGAGACGGAAGCCAGACTGGGCCGCCACGAAACTTATTTTTATTTTATTTTAACTATGACCCGCCGTTTTGGCTTCCACTATTTATTCATTTCTTATTTGGTCAACGTCACACGAGTCGGTAAAGGAGTTGGATACAACGTTACCTTCTCCTATGTAATAATAGTAATAGAATAATAAAAAGGAAAGTAGGAAGGTGAGATAGATTTAGCCAAAAAGATAAAGGGAAGTCACAATAGTGATCTAAACATATCCCTGCCGGAAACCACTCAGCTTAGAGTAAACCTTGTCAGAACTGATAGTAGATGCCGTGCTCATTGTGCCCCGCGACTCCACTTGCCGAGTGGTAATTATATATTTTCATGAGCGCGCCGTAATAAAAATTAATTGCATAATGTTAACATAAATACGACGTCGTTTTGATATATTTGACGAAATCGTAGCGAATTAATTCACGAAAAAAATGATACCGCCGTCGTAATTATGTTCAAACAAAAAATGACTTTCTCTCGCACGCTGGCCGAGGTCTTAATTAAGTCCCGCTTTAATGAAGGCACGAGTTGTAAGGCCACAATTAAATCTATATAACGCGCAGTCATCACCTCTGTCCGACTCTGTTTGTGATTAATCGACGCGATTCTTGCGAATGACAGTTAATATAGGTGCATGCCTACTGCCGTAGGTGGCGCACGTCTCGAGAAGAACGCGGAAGCGCCTCCTATCATCGATCGAAATAAAATCTCGACCACGACAAAAGGAGTTTCCCATTGTTACGGAACAACGAAAAATCGAAAGTCAAAAGGAACTATTCACACGCATCTTTACACAATTGGTTAAGTTAAAAGTTTATAGAACTATATCGGGTGTGTCTTACAGAAAACCCATAGTTTCCACCGCCTTCATTTTTTTCTTCATATTTAAGTTGACGTATTCTTGGCAGTATATTTTACCGGCAAAAGTGAGTTCAATGTTAGCTTAGCTTACACCTTGCGCCACACGCGATGATTTAGTATCGCGAATTGAATACGTTGACTCCGGACTTCTCAGGTGGCGAGCTACAATACACCTGGACGGAGTGGCCTGGGAGCTATAGAGACCCACTGTGAATGGTAATAAATTGTGTGCAGGTTAAAATAGAGTGTTGAGTCCGCTCAGATACCTAATGAAGCAGCAGCTTGTCAGCAGAAATAGCGGGCTTTGAGAGGTTTTTTATTATTTATTATGTGAATACGGAATAAAAGTTTAGTTTTTATTGACGCCAGATCCACACAATAGGTGCAAATAATGTATGCATGAATCTGGACAATGATGTTTTCAATATCGACTTTTTTTGTATGAAAGAACTAAAATGATATCAATCTCAGAGTTTTGTTTATTGAAAGTATTTTTTTGTCGTTGTCGGCACCGACGAAAACAGATTATCGTATGTACCCGCTCCTCGAATCCGCGACGCCCCGGCGTTCGAGCCCGTAATGCTACGCTATTACGACTGAACTGCGGCAGTCAACATTATACAATGTCATTAGATAACGACGCACGTGTACGCTATTCGTGGGAATCGGCAAAAGGTTCAGCTCGGAATAAATAGTAAAAACATGTAACAACACAGTTAAATACGATTATTGGCCATATAAGACTGCCGATCGACTCGCCACCTGTCGGTCTCGGAGGCGATAGACCGACCGGCCGTTTACCGTCTCAGGAGACAATCTTAATTTAGTTTGCATCTTAATGCTTTGCAGATGACGTAATCTGGCCCATGTCGATAATTTTTAGCGCAAAACAGTACCAATACTAAGCAAACTAACAGTCATTCAATTTAAGCGAGAGGCAAAGTCGTAAAATGTTTATAAATTGTCCTCCTTTCGAAAGGGACTTAGTCGTGTAAACATTAATAATATCGACATCGACACTGACCCGTAAAAATCACTAGACGCGTGTTTACCACAAGTACTCACGAATCGATTAAACGCCTTTACTGTACTCTGAAGCACCCTCGCCCTCCCTCCTACCACGTTCGGGTTCGGATTGTCTAAACTTCGAAACGAAATATTAATATTACCGACGGGCGATGAAATAGTACAAATATGCGAGTAATATAAAATAATCTAACCTGAATCTATACAATTGCCGATAGCATCCTACATATAAATGGAAAATAACGATGTTCAACGCTTAAGTCGAAACGACAGTGACAAATGTCAAGCTCTTTAGCAGACACGAGCCTACCTATTATTTATTTTAAAACAATGGCACGACATAGGTAAATCGTACAATTATTTTATTTAGTATCACTCCTCGCGACGGCCGACTATCGTTTCCGTGCGAGCGGTTCGCGGTACGAGGGTGGCCCCCGTTTGGTGTGCACAGCAAATCGTCGGCACTCGGTAGGGATTAGAGAATGTCGGAAGTGTTCCCTTGATTGACTTCTAGTAGACACAGTAAACACAATATGCGGTAATATCCGTTAAGAAAGTATTTGACGAACCGCCGCTTCCCGCTCGAACAAAATCGATATTAATATATAGAAATGAACAATGCAAAGTGGGCGCTGCCAGTTTGATTCAATTAATCTCTTCGAGTGCCGCCTCGGCCGTCCCCGAGGTCTTCCGATCGAACAAACAGCGTTTAAGAGTTCTGTTTGACGAGCACAATGTTTTGTTGTTTTAGCGAACGGCAAAACATTGTCGAATAAAACTCCGCGCGTCAACAGAGGGCTATAAGAGGCTTTTGTCTTTATTACGACGCACTTTTCATAATGGAGGTGTCCTTTTCAAGTACGACCGTCGAGTATGTTAACGGAGAGATCTGCCGCTCCAGACTATTATGGGAGAGTACTTTAAAAGAAAATGATCAATACTCACAGCTAACTGAGACTTTACTCGGTTAGCTATAAGTTAAAAATATTTCAATATTTCAGCTTTCGGCTTAGGTAATTAGTTAATATAATGTAGCTAAACAAAGATTTTCTGACGCTTGAACTTGTTATTTCAACTGGATATATTCAGGGTTTGCAACGTACAGAAACATAATAAATCATAAAATGAACCCAGAAAAGGCATCGCGTCAAAACGAGAAAAGGGGAGTGGAGGGCTATTGTCTTAAATACTCGTGCTCTTCGCCTAATGGATTTGTCCTTTTCGTGTTGACGAAATATAAATATTGCTTTTGACCTCTACCTACCTACGAACGTATTATTCTAAAAATCGTTACAATTGAAAACGTTAGAAATATGGACGAAAATAAAGCGGCCTACGAAATATGCAAATGAGGAAATACTATTTCCTAAACACTATAATTCCGCTGTGAAAGGCCGGTCCGAGAGAGAAAACTAATCAACAGCAAATCTTCCATACATTAAATCTTAAAGAATATCGAGAGCGCACTTATTAAATTTTCAACGGAGCCCGCGCTTTGATCTCGCTGCGTTCGCTTCTGACGTTAGACTTCGGAGCGAGACAGCGATAACGAAACGGCCAGGGCTTATGGGGTCTTTGCAGGGAAAATTGAAGAGTCAAAGCGATGTTACCGAAATCTCGGTCGGGCTCCACCGGCCTAAACTAGATTACGGAGTGAGCCCCGGTATAGGGAATATTAGTTTTACGGTTTCCGAGAATCAAACGCAAAACGCAGCGATTTGAAAAGAACGATCGACGGAAGAACCTACTCGTGTTGCTGTCGGCCGTTCACTCGGAAGCACGTCATGACGAGAGAGACGTGGGTCGAGCGGATTCCGAGTGGCTTTATTGTTGGGATTTCAAATCTTTAAATCTGCCTTATTCTGAGTCACTTTTTGACGTCGCCGAGAGCGGCGTACGGCACTTCAACCGAGTCAATTAGTTTTTACACTGTCAAATAGATCGATTTCTAAGCTTTTATAAAATGTTTGTTATGTATATTTTTAATATTTGTAATAAACAAAAAAAAAAATTAGACGCCTACTGTGCGTTATTTCGTTGCGAGGGCGAAGTGATTATTTCTCCTACAGAGGAGATGTAAACAAAGGCTAGTAAACGCGAGGCGTTCCGAATACTGTACATATTCAATACGCTTGTCATTTAAATTAGAAGCAGGTGCCGCGAATACGTAAGATCAAAATCGCTCAGGTCGCTAGACCTCAGGTCTCCTATGTGAACTCGTGCAGAAAACATTTATTTAGCCTTTGCTGTACGCAGTAGAGGCACAATTTCTAGCAATTCGGCAAATCTTAGCGATAATTAAAAGAAAGCTGTTATGTGTCACATCCAGCCATTGTTATGGAACAATAGGCCTCGCCGAGGGGAAGCGATACAAATTGCGACAATTAACGAGACATTGATTACACATCGTGCTTCTCACGTCGACGCTAAACCACGTAATTATTGCAGTATCGATTGCCGCTCACTGCCTCCTCGGATCGGGATCCGACTGGAGGCTGACGAGTGACGACTATTTGTGACGTCTACCTACGGCGTTTTAGTTACATAAATCTGCCCTAGAGGAGGATTGTATCGCGCAAATAAAACAAAACGAGACGCATGCGCCGGTAAAACTACGTAAATTAATTATAGTCGCGTAGCTTATCGGCAATGAGCCTTTGGTCGCGAGGTGTAAGCCGACAAACTTGCTCCTATCTGATACGTCCTTCCGCGTAAACTTAGCGCTTTATGCTCTCCGGACACACAGCCTCGTCGTTCGGCAAACCTTTGTCGCCGGCCACGTCTCGTGAAACGTACAGACAAAATACAATAATACTAAAAATGCAGTTGTCTCTGACGACGGAACCTCTAAGCGAGGTGCAACAATTTGAAGAATGCAGTTTACAGTAAGTAAATAAAAGTAGACATTTCCTTAAACGAGTACGATGCGACTTGGGTTTAAACAGCACTGTGTCACATTTTAAGCACGATCTTGGTGAACAATTATTTTGCTGATTGTGGGAGATGGGCCAATGTGGACGGACACTTCGTTAGCGGCACCTTTCAACTCGACTGAGAACCACTATAACTGTTCATCGTAGACGAAAATATAGTACAAGTTTGTGTCTAAGATAATAGCAGTACTCCTGGCTACCGCGAAAGGGACGGTAGGTTTGACATTTAGAGCGAAATCCGATTCTCCAGCAATACATTCACGGCAAAAATAAATAAGGAGACGTTCCACAAGCGTGATCCGTAATATTCATCGTTTTGGCGAAGCAAAAGCGGAGATAGCGGGAGCTAGATCGCCCTCTCCCGCTCGACACTTGCACCCGCGCGCCGAGGCCATTCAAAAGGAGTGTCCGTCGATGCATCACTACCCGCGTAAGAGCGGCGCCTACGTCGCGCGATTTATAGCGCACTAACGTTTAATTTTCGACATAATTTCATTTGAACACGCCGCAATCGACTTAATTATGATATCCCGATAAGATCCCGAGTACGGTTTTGTACGCCGTAAACCATCCGTTAGCTTATGATATGAGGAGGCCTCTGAAATAATTATTATAAGGCAGGTACACACTTTACAAGTATTGACCGCCTTTTAACCTATTCGAAATGGCCACGACCTTATGAATTCATTGAAAAGTGTAATTTTTTATACTTGTTCGAGCACATTACAGATAAATATTTCATTACTGAGGGACAATTTCGCTGTCATTTGTAAACCGGAATCGTCGCGTGCGCAGGGCAATATTAATTTGTCTCTTGTAATAATCGCTGATAGTAAAGTGACATATAAATATACCGCATGGTAAAATAAGTTTTTCTTTTTTCATATTAACGTCCGAAGGTTCTAGATCTTACAACGCTTGGCTCAGTTTTATTTCATAAAGTTAAAGATAGAGACGACATATTACATTAGATATAAGACACAGAAAAACAATTAGTTATTATAACTTTTACCATGTACACGTTCACAAAGTGTGGTAAGGAATAAACAAACGAATGGGGAATGTACTTGAAATGTGTCCCATAATTAAACTCTCCCGTATGCGAACTCGTCGTGGCTCCCAAAACAGCGGTAACAACAAACTCCGTTTAAAATACAATTAGTTGTTTAGAATTTCTATGTAAAAACTGTGAAAGAAGGACAGAGCTAAAGGGAGCAAAAATTAAAGGTTAGCTATGAGAAATTGTACCTCACTTGCTTTTATCTACTATATTCGATACTAACAAATATTATAGTATTAAGTAGAATGGTGGTTCCAGTTGAATCATTCAAGTCAAAATGAATGTCGCGCTTTTTCAATCAGTTCCCAGATATGTCGCCCCGTTAATGGCCCCGCTGTATTGTGTTAAATAACTCCATTTGGCTCGATACACGATAGCCGTTCGATTTGGACAAGGATAATTATTTACTGGTAAATTGGGAGTACAATTATTGTGCCGAACGGCCCCTGCCTGGCCGGCTGCGATAATGTTGTAATTAAGTGTCGCTATTTAATATGTAGAGCGCTGTTACTTCGAGCTAACTGTTCTCCACTTTTTACATAAGACTAGAAAAGGTTATGAGTACAGCTTTTGCGAAGCGATTAATTTATGTATTTTTTATTTGAAAAACTAATTAAGCGAGCGGCGCAATGCATAGCTCGATTCTTTCTTAGATCCGGTCTAAGAGATTTATATGAACATTATTTACGATGTATGTCGCGCAACGAAGGAACACATTTTCCTCGCAACCGGCAGCAGATAGCCATCGAGAGAACGCATTTCAAGAGGAGCCCGCTTTACACAATTCTGCACATTAATTAATTAACAACGCATTATCACGTTTCTTATTATCTCTTTAGAATTTCGCATCCCACTCCTCGGCGCGCTTATTGTTATCATCGGCCATCGCAAAAAGTCGTGTCGCGCCGACAAAAGCCGATTCAGTAACATAGCTGAGAATCCGACGAACGCTGCGCTCATTAACGCTTCTCGACTCACTCTCCTACGCGGAGATAGAAGAGGGTAAGTCTCCGGAGACATCAGACAAAATGGTGTCTTCTTGCCGAAGGGTAGAGTCGAAACAAATGTCCCGCGAAATAACTGCACACAATCTGAAACGCCGAAAGGTGCAACGTCGTCCGTTATTAGGAAGAGGGCTTAAATTCGTAAGTCATACTTATGCTATTGCTTTGAAGCTGAACTCGAGACTTGATACATTTTATTCTAATTCTTGACAATAGTGATCAATGCGCATAAGGTCGTAACCACCGCCCCGTGCCTCGACGAATGTAGACTTATGGCGAGTTTACGTAAAGCCAAATTTTGTCGTGAGCCTGGCGCGTAAGGGTCGTTTCACATGGCGAAGGTAAGAGCGATTAGCGTTTTTAAGCCTCGGCGTAATTAGGGGCCATCGACGGTGCTTATGAAGATATAAAATAAAGATCGGATCTTGGATGTTTCGCATCCAATGTGGAGGCGGAAAAAGCTTCCGCTGATCGTGCCGAAAATAAGCAATTAATGTGTTCTGGGCGAATCACATTGGGACTTCATAGGAAGCGTCCGCAAAAGACACGAAACTAATAAGTATGTGTTGGAAATTAAATATCTTTCAATATTATGCAACCACTCGTCGAACGCATAGAATCATTGTATGTTTGTATATCAATATAGTATAAGTACTTAGTTTGTTTAATCAAATTTATGATGATTTAAGCTCCTGCACTATTCGACCGCCTAATTGGTCGCGGGTTCATAACTCAGTAACGATTAGGAAGTTCCTATACGCATGCAAAGTGGATTTATACAAAGTGAAACAGTTGCTCAACGATCAATAATTACTTAGTGCTAAGTGAATGTGCGCCCGCGCACTGTCTGACTTGTCAGTTACAGTGACCATCAATAAAATGTTCGGTTGGAGCGACTGTAAGAAGGCGAGTCTAAAAAAGTGAACAAACAGAACGGAACAGAATAAAATACAAATAGCATTAGAAAGCCTAAGTACCTATCATAACTGCAAGTGACATTTTTAGTAAGTCTAGCAACAATGATGTCCGAGTTCGGTCGAGTCGTACGGGCAATTCGAAACTCCCTTTGGCCACTATGGGTGGGTACTGAGTGGGTCGCCAGTGGGTCGGTCGGTCGAAGGCTGGTCACCGTAGTATCGGTTCTTACGTTGCCAATTGGCATGCTAATAGCGCGCCTAGCGTGACGGTCAGAATTTCAAGCAAACCAGATTTATTGCAACGTCTACACAATATCTTCGGTCACGGTGGCTTGCGTTCACGACATTTAGTTCGGTCTTATCTCGGCGATAATCGACCAAAATATGCGAGAGCCCGCGACGGACCCGTCTGCCTGTCGCGTCTCCTTTATTTCTTCCTGAAGTTGCCTGGCCTTCACCATAACAAGGAGACGTATTTATGAATGCTCTAGATCATATTTTACGATATTGAATTATTACCACTTGCGTAGCTTAGCCTATTCATTTATAATCTATCTTCTATAGAGTTTTACGAAATTTTGTGTTTGGGAAAATTCGAGTTCTCGCGGGAAATATAAGAATTGTCACAAACATAGACATAATAACATGAACATAGAATTATATATACAAAATAGAACATGTGTGTGCAAAGGCGGCCTTATCGCCTATGGCTATTTCTTCCAGGCAACCTTCCAGCAGGTACCAGGAAATGTATGTAAAGTTTATGTAGCATTCACCAAAGCACTGAGAAGCGAACTAGAACACAATGAATCGATTAAGTATTCATAACGCGTACTTCACGCTTCATCTGCGCCTCAGCACCTTTTGTCTAAAAAAGTAAGTTATTAACTTAACCTCATTGCAATTAAAGTACATACAATGACTAGTGAGTCTCCCACGAGCTATTATTTTAATGATTTTCGTACAACAAACAGATTTCGCGGAGAGCGGGCGATTCGGACGATTCGTGCGCGACGCTCAGAAGCCGGCGTAATCTCTCATTAACAATCGTCACTCATCGATGGAGCTGTAATTAATACACGCATGTTTTATTAATTGCTAACAATTTTCATGAAATTCAATTCTTAGCGATACAGAAATTATGTAAATTGACGTTTAAATGGAAACCTAGCGATTTAGGCTGCATTTATTGTCGACATTGCAAACACAAATTTTGGAGCGGGTGAATATTACGGTTCGGTCGTATCCCGAATGAAGTGCAACGGCCATCAGCGCCTCACACGCGCCGGGGAACCAGGCGAGAGGTTCTAGCGTCCTCACGTTATCTTCAACTTTAATCCTATCGATGATACCGAGAGTGACGTAGGCAAATTATCAAAAGGAAGAATAAGGTATATCTGGTGATCCGAAGCAATTTGTAACGATAAAAACGATATAAAATGCTTTTTAGTGTTGTTAATAATTTACTGAAAGGTTATCATGGACCTCTTCACGCAGAGTCCTATGCGTTTTATTTGTCTTTCTGTTTTAAAGGCACGAGGAACTCAATTTTTGTGAAAAATTTGTTTAATTTTTTTACACCCACATACTAATATAGTTTTTTAGTCAAACTGAATTATTTATCAACTGTTGCAACTTTTTGTATCCTGAAATGTAAAGGCAGATTCGACAAGTGTATACCGAGTAGCGCACTGTACGCCTCGCTAGTCAACGGGCGCTATTAATGCCCGTACTAAACCATATTTTAATACGTCCACTTTCAAACTTTCTATAACAAAAACCTTGCGTTACGAGACTTTTGATTGATCGATCGCGCGTAGAATTTAAATGGTGCGTTCAGTGCGTTTACACATTTTTATCGGATCCCCTTATTCGGCTCGTATGTTCACTCGGCGATGGCCGCTCTGAGCCTAGGCTATGAATACATTCGCAAATCGCAAGCAGTCAGTTTAACGAATCGATGCAGTCTCGGTTTTACGACTCGAAAGCACCGCGGGCGAGGCAACGGGAAACCTTAATTCCGTCCCTACAATAACACAATCCGCTTTAAAACAATAGAAAGATAGAAGGTAAGCGAATGTGCAGAGAGAACCGTCTGCACCGGACCTTATGTATGCAAACGATTGTGTGAAAACACCGTTCGAGAGAAAACTGCTAATTCAATATAAGTTCTTATCTGTACGCAACTTGTCACAATTGTAATCGATTTATGACTTCATTCGCTCGTTAATATTTTCTTTTTGCTCAGTGTTTCATCGATTGGGGTCTAAGCGTTTCCATTCCTTTTATAGTGAACGACGTCTTATTGTGTGTTTGTGTAGAATAAACTCAAAACCACTCCGCCGTTTTTAAAAATACTTTCACTATTAGAAAGCTACCTTTACACATTAAGAACATATAAGAGACCTCACTGAGACATACTATGTAAACCTCGATGGTAAGTTGGTGGTTGGTCACATAGGTTGCGGCAACTGATGTTAGAACAACAACATGTTCTAAAATATTATGCCACGTGCCGACTACCACCGTTATCTCACTAGAACGAAATTTCCCGTATTAGAAGTCACAAATATAAAATAAATTATAACCAAGATTGGACAATGTCTTCTATACCACTTCTGTTTAAATTCTTATCCAAACAACTTATATAATATATTGTTTCCAAATCTGTCTTATTCAACACATACCTACATACTTTTTTTTTATTTTTTATCGCCTATTCCATTCGAGAGACATGGCAACTTAAAAAAAATAGAAAAATAAACGCTTTAGGGTTGTGTATTTGTGGATAACTTTGTGAGTTTAAAATAATTTGAAAAATAAAACAGAAAACCAATCGTCTCGCACGGAACTAGTCGAGGGTTCGGGTTGGGCTCTGGGATTCCGTGACTACTTGAATTGCAATTAAAGTTTTATAGATAATCTTTTAAAGTTCCGTTTGTCGGGGAACCCTAATGAGAGGAAAAATTCGAAGCTCGTCGGCAAGAAGGACTCGCGTGTTATGCGCCGAACCCATCCCTTTAATTGTACTGTATCATCGCATACTCAAATAAGCGCGACTTTTTGCGCGCGCGCCGCCGTAATAACATAATACGCGTTTCGGTCTCGAAAGCTTTTTAGATTTATCGCTGTTTAAGGCCAAGTTTGGTCGGACTTTTTAGAATAGGTTTTGGCGAATTCTTTACTATATGCGAGCACTTCTAATGTCAGCGGCTGTACCGTAATAGACCGTTATGAGTCTATAATAAAGAGAGACTGCGTTTAGTAAGTGTATAAATAGGCACTAGCAAGTTTTAATGTGAAAATGAAGAAAATTTTAAATAGGAAAACGCGTTAGTCACACAACAGATACAATTTTTTAGAATTTTTAGGGTAACTAAAGATTATGGCGATAAAGCTACTAATATTAGTTATAAATAAGAAGTTTAAAATATGGCTCACGTGTCTTTAGTTGCAAAATAAGCTGTTAAAGAAATTTTCATTTAAGTTTAAAAAAGTTAATTTTGTCAGCGCCGAGTCAATGCTTCATGACTAGGGACAATCAGTATCGACCGGGGCGCATCGCCGTCGCAACGGAAGAGTTACAGGCGCGGGCGACGGGGCTTCGCCCGTGGCTAGGGCGGGTCGGCGAGTTTATTAAGTTCGAGATATCTCAATACCTTCATTAGCGATTTATGGCTCTTCGATCTGTAATCTGGACAGTGATACGAAGTATTCTTGCAGGTGCTCTGCACGACTGCTTAAATTACGATTGTGTAGGTACTTTAAAGTGAAGGCTCTGTGCTGAGGACGCATTTCTTAGATCGCAGCCTGCGACTGAACCCCGGGTTGTCTTAGAGGCATCTAAATACTTGTCTCGAACATTAACTTGTCGATTTTATATTTTTCTGTGATCTCCGCCTCGGGGGCCATTCGTCTACGCCCAATAACGCTCACTCATTATTCATTGTAACTAGCACGGTTAGTGTTCTCGTACGATCATTCGTAGGATGTATATACAGCGTGTCCACAATTTGTGAATACTATCTGCTACCTACGTTCGCACCGAAAGTTCATCAAGTTTTCAACCTCCACGTTTGAAAAAGAGTGATGTAACGCAAGTTCTGATATTACAAACGTAGCGAACGCCACACGCGAGCGGACATCTACATTGACACCTTATAATTAGGGGCTCGCGCGTGCGTACGTTTCTTTAATAACACAGCCCTTATCTTAATTACTGCACGGGGACCGGAGAGCTCGAATCCCGATATTAGGATGATAGATCATCGTTAATTGTACGTTGCGGCGAAGGGTTGAGGAACGAGCGCACGTTAAACGACACTAAACGCTCTTTGAAGCTGTTCGACCGCAGTCGGTGGCGGGAAAGCTTCAAAAACGTACCATTGCACGGTTACAGCGCTTCGTCCGTTAAATAGTCGTCACGAGAGACAATGTAGTGTTAAGGAGCTCGTTAACCCTTTGCGAGGGGTCGAGACGTCCTAAGGAGATATAATCAATTCGTCCCTCTTGAGTCTCGCGGCGACGGCCGGAATTGTCACCGTTCACGACAGCTCATTTGAAATAAATTAGCGGGATATTGAATTCGATTCAATTATTTCTTAGTGTCATTGCTAAAAAATGATGAAAACGTTAAAGGCCTAGAGCCCACTGCTCTCTCTAAATTGTTTTGCGTTGAATAAGGTGACATCAGTTGGATGTTAAAATCAAAAGGCATTTCGTTTTTAATTACAGTATTTAGCTGAATTGTAGGCATTATCATTCGCACTTACGACCACCTGTAAATCTGCCGCGGCCCGCGAATGACATTTACTGTTCATTGCATTTTACTGCATTTTTTGTTCCGTTTATCTTATTTGTAGTGAATATTGGTAAACTTATATACTTTTTTCTTCCTTCAAATTTATTATACATTTTATTTATTTACGAAACGAGGCACAAGTATGTGCTATCTCCGGTTTTGTTACGATTCATTTATTTACTAAAATAATATTAATAATACTTTTCACAGAAATAAATTATTCTATAATTCCTCCGACAGATTTTTGAGAGAGGCGGACAGACAACCGCGGGTTCTATTTGATAGAAGGTGAGATACTCCATTACAAACATTTCAATAAGACGCTCTATCGATCTATTTTGTTCCAATTACTTATACTTCTCGAAGATACATCGCTATATTTGCTCACTAACAACGTAAACCTTCCTTATGAAATCGAGAGGCCGCGACACGCATTCCGGGGGA